TGTTTTGTGGAGAAGTGGAGGTCTGTGGAGGTCTATTCTTGCTGGCAACCCGCACTTGCTTAAGAGCTGGGGGGGTGGTGTTTTGTGGAGAAGTGGAGGTCGTGCGGGCTGGCAACCCGCACTTGCTTAAGAGTGGGGGGGTGGTGTTTTGTGGAGAAGTGGAGGTCGTGCGGGCTGGCAACCCGCACTTGCTTAAGAGCTGGGGGGGTGATGTATGGTGATGTTTTGTGGAGAAGTGGAGGTCGTGCGGGCTGGCAACCCGCACTTGCTTAAGAGCTGGGGGGGTGATGTTTTGTGGAGAAGTGGAAGCCGTGCTCGAAAGCCTCGCAATGAGTGCGTGCCTTGCAACACCCGAAAATCACCCAGGGTCCGAATTTTGTCGGATCCTAGAACTTGCGAGGGCCTTGCAAGTCACCTGATTGCACCTGGGATCCAAGCGCTTTTTTGTTGGAACATGCAAAAGCCGCGGAAAGGACCTGGCATCCAACGCTCTTTGCGATTACCCAAGACAGGAAAACGAAAGGTCGAGCCCTGCGTTTTTTTGCGTTCCAGAACACAAAAACGAAAGCTTCTTGACATGTGGTTTGCGAGGTTTCAAGCGTTCCGAAGCACGGAACGGAAGGTCCCCCAGGTGATCTGCGAGGTTTTCGAGAGTTCCAAGACACGAGAGCGGCATTGCAAAAAACTTTCGAACCCCCGCGGCTCTCCTGACATCCTATGCTCTGACGTCCCGCGTGACGGCTGCACTACGAGTTCCACGTCCTCCATGTACTACAAAAAGACACCGCATGATGTACGACGTGCTGGCAAGTTCTAGGCCAAGCATGCGACACCAGTGATTTGCGAGATGTTCGTGCGGAGAGGCGCTTCCACGCACTGCGTTTGTTCTACCACAGATAACTACGTTTGCACGCAACGAGCGAAACAAAGAAAAGTCGAATGAACATAAAACAATATTACACTTCCCGGCCCCGGAGCGGACAACCCGTTCATCTACTGAAACACAGGGCTTCAGTGCCACGACACCACGGGGACACTGCGAGGCTGACCGATCGAGAGTTCAAACGTGCTTTCCGTGCTCCGAACACAGGGTATCTTTGGCGAGGTGACCAAACGTGCGAAACGCAGGGGAAACGCTCAAGTTGCAGGCTTCCGCAGGTCTCTCTCTCTCTCTCTCTCTCGCTAGCCCGCCCTCAACCGCCTGAAAGAGATGAGTGATCTATCGAACAGAAGACAAGAAGGAAAATTGAACAGAAACTCAACTCCGCTGAAAATTTATGTAACCCCTTCAGGAAATAGATGTTGAAGCACGTCCCGGGAAGCTTCCCTCGTTGAGTTCGGTAAACCCTCGACCCCCCCGTCTGCCTTGAGGCCATCGACGGCATAGATGGAATCGAGGTGAAACTCACGTGCCCTGTCAGCTGCCGCTGGCACAAGTCCTGAAGAAAACTGCACTGACATCTGGGCTGGATTCTTGGAGCGCAGTGTAGCAGCGAAGCTCTTGTGTGAGATGACAAACCCATCGAAACCCTTTTAGAATACAAGATCTCGGGTCAGCCTAAACCCTAAACCCTAAACCCTAAACCCTAAACCCTAAACCCTAAACCCTAAACCCTAAACCCTAAACCCTAAACCCTAAACCCTAAACCCTAAACCCTAAACCCTAAACCCTAAACCCTAAACCCTAAACCCTAAACCCTAAACCCTAAACCCTAAACCCTAAACCCTAAACCCTAAACCCTAAACCCTAAACCCTAAACCCTAAACCCAAACCCTAAACCCTAAACCCTAAACCCTAAACCCTAAACCCTAAACCCTAAACCCTAACAAAAATCCCAGCCATCAAAAAACATGCCAGCAATCAAAAGCTTCCTTCCTTCCTCGTTTCCTCCCTCTCCTCTTCCCTTATTCCTTCTTTCCTGCCCTTCCTTTCCTTCGTGCTTTGGGAATTGTTTTTGTTGTTGCTGCTGGCTTCACCGTAGCGCATTAGGGTTTAGGGTTTAGGGTGTAGGGTTTAGGGCTTTATCTTAGGGATTACTGTTTAGGGTTTAGGGTCGAGGGTTTAAGGCTCAAGCCCTAAACCCTAAATCCTTAACCCTACACCCTAAAAACCTAAACCCACCGAAAGCGGAAAAAAACAGAAAGCAAGACGGATAAAACAAAAAACAAAAAACAAATCCCAAACCAAAAAAACATCCTAAAATAGTTCATATTCCCATCGATCATCTCTGCACTGCCGAGCAGCTGAAGAGAAACTCCGTTTGACCCCAGAGGTTGCTGGCCAGACCAATAGTCTTAGCTCTACCGGCTCACTCAAGAGTCTGAATCCCTGGTGTCGCGTAGTATCACTGTGCTTGGACGAGCTGAGCTGGCAACGATGGCCAAAAGACCCGCTGCTACAATCTTCTCTGGAGATGTGTTCACTAAGCTGAGATCACGCCTGCCAGGATTGCGGACACGCAGCATACGCAAAAAAAAAAAACTACCTGCCCGACTCGCAGCCTCAGCTCACCTGGCTTCCCAAAGACGTAGGTCCAGGTATCGACTTCCTCCTCCTTGCAAGGAATTGCGACAGCTTCCAGGACCTCTACACCACACGCCAACCTATCGCCAACCTGTACAGACTCTGTGGCAGTTGCCGCGCTTGCAACAACTGTGTATAACATGCCTCGGGTGAGGTTTCTTCTGTCTTGGGAGGTGGTGTACTTTTCGGAGGACTTCGCGTCACCTGGGCTGACTCAGACTGCGGAGCTGTTGGTATGTCTCTGTTGGAGTACCCGCCTCTGCATTCTCCGGGGCTGCGCGCAGCACCCTTGTAGGGAAACGGGTAAAGCAGTCTGCCTGTGCCTGAGCTTGCGCTGGCTTTAGCATGATTCACGGATCTGGCACAACCACACTCAACACGCGCTTTAGCAAAAGGAGATGGCTCGGTGAGTCAAGCGGCAACGAATGGCAGGCTGAAAGCCGCGACAAGTAAGCACTTGCTTCGTCTGCGCGTTCTGTGCCATCGGCAAGAGCTCTGCGACATGGACATGCGCATGACCCGTGTACATCGTGTACTCTTACGACTTACTTGACTGATTCCTGGTCCGTGCTCTTTGGCTGATCTTCGCACATGAAGTAGGCATCGTGCATAGAGCCGGAGGCACGCTTCTTCTCGCATCTGCACGGCCGGCGACGAACTACTGCAGCTTAGGTTCGAATTGCTGAGGTGGGCCTCTGGAAAATCAAGTTCACGGACACCTGGAGATCAAAAACGTAAAACAAAGGTCGTTCGGGGACCTTGCTGCTACAAGCCAGTGCTCTGACGTGCCATGTGATCGGGCTGCGCACGGTGCCCGTGCCGTTCGCCTCTGAGTTGCTCCAGCGCAGTGTCGGAGTCTGGGCTGATTGGATGGCTTGAAACGGTTTGAAGCTGCTCTCTACAAGCTAGGCGTCTGGCATGCATGATATGGTCCGGTAGGGAGGGGGGGGCCGGTCTGAGGGTCTCGAGCCCTAAAACCCTATAATCCCTGAAGCTCTAAGGTCCTGAAACCATGCCCAAAATGCTAGAGCCCTAAACCAGAAGCCCAAACTTAAACCACCCCAGCTACACCAGCAGGGTGAGTACCTAGACCGCGACCCTAAAACCCGAAGTCCTAGTCTTAAAACCCTTCCAGCCTACAACCGAAACCCTAGCACGACCACACTACAGGGGGAGCAGGGAGCTTGCCCCAAAACCCTAAAACCCTAAAACCCTAAACCCTAGAAAGGGGTGGGGACCGCCATGGAGCGCGTGACCTAGCATTTTGCAGAAATTGCATAATTCTCAGGTAGCGCACATAAAGTTCCCTAAGCAGCTGGCGGTGACGTTTGGGGGCTGGCTGGAACTAGGCGAAGACGGCACAGATGCACCAGTGACCTCGGGAACCCCATGTGAGCAGAACCAACCTGCTGGCCGCACTGTGTCTGTGATCAGCTAATGTAGAGCTTTTCATGCGCCTTGCCTGGAGCTGGACGAGACCTGAGCCGGTGCTTTGCAACAGCGGCTTTACTCTTTAATCTGTCCCGCTTAGATCATTTCTTGAAGAAACACACAATTCTGTGTTTCTGTCGGCGCCTGCGGCGATCGCTCGTGGGCCCAGTTCACCTTGAAGCGCCGACGTGAAGCCTGCGCTAAGCCGCTAAGCCCCGCTTGGCTGACGACGAATCACGGTTCGAATGAGATCCATCTCTCGGCTCGGTCCCTTCGATTCTTTTTCGAAGCGCCTGCCGCCACGATTCGATCTGAAAGCTCCGTCACGGGAACGAGAATGGAGTAGGCAGAGAAATTCACCTTTTACCGACAGGCTGATGGAACGCCTGGGACGCTTAAACTCTGCCATGTCTTGCCGATAGCCGGCCTGCAGCTGGCCGGCAACAACGCCGCTACTCTGCAGGCGTCGCACGTCCCTGATGCCAAGTACCGCCTGAACATAGTCCACCGAGATGCCTGTCACGCTTTGCGTTGTTCCAGCACTCAAGCGTTGTGCTTGTATTGAGAAGATTCCGACTAGCTGGCAAAGTTCAGCCAAACGTAGGTACACAATGGTCCACGGAATGGAAGAACTGATCAGGCCGAGCATCTACCGCACCCAAGCATGTTTTGTCAAACATTCTCTCTCTGTCTCTGGCTTCAAGCATTTTCAAGTTATTCCAGGGCCATCCGTTTCGCACCTGCTTCGTCGATCGACAGGGCAGCCGCGATGCTGCCACGAAGTACACCAAGCTGCTGCGCTGCATCGCCCCATGCCTGCCCAACTGCATTGCTTCATGCTGCTTGGCCAGGGTATAAGGCCAATGCAAAAGGGGCAGCTATTGGTCCCGTCCACAAGCACAACAAATGTGATACAAGTCACATGAGTCTGAATGTGGGTGTGCCTGGAGCCGGGCAACGTTTTCGAAGTCTACCACCAGCAAAGACACGAATGCTGCCACTCGCGGTTGTGGAATATGCATGCCTGCTCGAGCAGTGCAGACTTCGAACCCCCACCAGCGATGCTGGCTGCAAAATACACTCTTGCATGTGTGAGGATGGAGTAAATGGTGACACTGCCTGGAACAGCCATCGCTGCATCCAATGTGATGTTGTTGGCATCACGCAGGGCAATGCTGAACCTGGGGCAGCTGCTGTCAGCACAGAGGTATCAGCTTACCCAGTATCGTAGAGTCGTAGAGTGATGTTGCATAGGCACCGAATCACAAGCAGCGAAACAAGTGATTGTCCGACGAGCTGCAGGTTTGGACTTGGATCAGCTGCCGGCGTGTCCAACCCAAAGATGAAGTAGAGAGTGCCAGCCGCATAGAGATCCACATTTGCAATGCGCACGACAGCTTGGCTGCCACCTTCGACCTGCAAACACAATGCCACAGCATCCACTGCGTGCACCAAGTGAAATTCTGCCTGGAAGACGTGCCTGGCATTGCACCCGCGCAGACAGAGGGAGCGAGAAGCTCTGGAACTGGCCACAGCGAATGGCGTAGCCAGCCGGAGCTTGAACCTGCCCCACCAGCTCAACTGCTTCCTTTCATAATGGGCTCCTTCTCCCCTTCTTCTGGGTATGTCTGGGTAGATACTGAAATCCGCCGAGGCCTCGGGCCGGAGGTGAGGTTGTCAGAACCAAAGCCCTTTTTTTGCCTCAAATGGGTACCCCCCTAAGAAACCGGGGTCCGCAAGCGGACGGTTCGCCAGTTGAAGCCCCTCCCAGCAGGCGCCCATCCCCTTTTTGCTTCTTCTCCCCCCCACCCCCCCCCCCCCCCCACCCCCCCCCCCCCACCACCCCCCCCCCCCCAACCCCCCCCCACCCCCACCCCACCCCCCCCCCACCCCCCCCCCACCCCCCCCCAACCCCCCCCCCTGCCCTCAAACCCCCCCTCCCCCACCCCCCCCCTCCCCCCTTTTTCTGCACTCCCCCTCCCCCCCTCATCTGCCTGGCTCAACCCTACGATCAATCCAAGCCGAACCGTTTTGAACCCTGCTCCCAAAAAAACCCTAAACCCCAAAGCGTGAACCTTGAACCCTAAGCCCTCAATCCTAAACTAAACCTTAAACCATAAACCCGGAACCCTAAACCCTAAACCCTAAACCCAACCCTTATTGCTTGGGGTCCAGCGACTTGGGCGCTGCGGAATCACCATGCTCACGCGGATGCGCTGGGCCGGGCCGAGGCGGGTCGCGTAGCGTTAAAATTACGCTGAGTGCACCAGGTGAAATTCAGCCTGCACGTAGCTTTGGGAAGCGCTTCCCAAAAGAGCCAGGGCTGCAGCCCCTGGGCTCAGTGTCACCTGCACTGCAGCCAATGACACAGCATACTGGCATACTTCGCAGCATACTGCACGGCGTACTGCCGGTCATTTTACAACATCACCTGCACAGCCTCATTCCCCGGCATACTTGCGACCATGCGACAGCCAGCTCCACCGCGCTCGTGAGCGCCACGGCTGCATACCTGGGGCACAGGGGGCGCAAGGAAAAACCACGTGTGGGAGAAAAAACCATGAACTTGTTAGTTGTGCCGGCGTTGTCTTGTTGGTTGTTGCTTTTTTGTTAAGTAGTGTGTTGTTTCTTGCTGATGCTCGTTTGAGAATCGGTTGCTGTTTGGTTGTGTTTCGTTTGTGTTACGTTCGTGTTTCGAATGACGTGATTGATTGTGTGTCGTTCGCTCTTTTGGTTGTTCCTTGTTGGTTCTTCGTTTGCTCTTCGCTTGTTGTTTGTGATGCTTGCTTGTTCGCTTTTTGTTGAGAACTATGTTGCGCGTGTTGCAGCTTCAGGGTTTAAGACCCTTGCGTAAGGGTTAGTATAAGACAGCTTCTTGCAGCCGGAGTTCGACACACTGGCAGGCATAGCGCGCAGCGAAACGCTATTGTCAGAAGCCCACATGGAAGCCTGGCTGTTCTTGGTTCAGCGATCTGGCGGGACAGGACTTCTCTGGCCTTTACACCATCAAGCCGTCCCTGTCTGGGAACAAGGGCCACCCAGTCTCTGCCTGAGCTCCCGCAGAGAAAAACAGCGCAAGGCTCGCAAGGTCAAGGACGATGTCTGGGCCACGTGCGCCCAGAGTCCCAGGATGCGGGCAGCTCCTCTGGACGTGTCAGAACATGTCAGATCTGATGCCGTGCACATATGAAACGAATATGAACCCTGTCACCCGTCATTAATCACAATCACTCAAGCGCTGAAAGATGCTGAGAGGTGAGAGTAGAATGTGCAATCGCTCCACTCGAAGCCCAAATCGCTCGCTGGTGGGCAGCAGGTGAGCAGCTTGGCGGCCAGTGCCATTGAAGTCCTGGATTCTGCAAACAGGCCAGATCGTACAGTCATACCCATCGTGGATGTGGCCGAAAGCAGCTGGAAGCAGATCAGGAAATTGCCTCGCTGATGCTGGCGCACGGTGTTGGAGAACAGGGCAAGACAATCACCTGCGCATCTTTTCTGCATGTCTCGCGTTTTCCTGAATATTCCCGTGTGTCCGTGCTGGATTTAAAATAGAGGAATGAGACAAGCCGCCACTCCAACCGGCGCCAAAAGCCACAAGCCGCTCACCACCTCCCAGCGTCTTAGCGTCTCAGCATGCACAACACGCACCACTCGCAGCACATTTCAAGCGCTCCAAAACTCAACCCAGGTGACGCCTGGATCTCGCCAGAAACCTAAGGACACATCTCCACAACCCAACATTCACTCCGAGGGCCATGGAGACTTGCGAATCAGACTAATCAGACTCAGGCTTGGATCTGCGTCCCTGGGGCCTTAGGGTCGCGACGAGGGTGCACGCTTCCATGCCGCTATCAAGGCCGCTCAGACGAAAGCACCCACAGCGAATGAATGGATGCCTATCCCAGTAGGCTTGGTTGGACGTTGCTCGAAATGAGGTCCCAGCTCCAACTTGCTCTTCCATGTTAAAGGGCGACAACAACGAAGACGAGGACCAGCTATCCTACATTGCAAAATGACTACATTGACTACTGTACATGTGAGAGGCACGCACTCCGTACCAATTCGAATCGCACTCCTGCATCAGCAGCGCGGTGGGAACCAGGCCATCGTTAGTGTTCAGCGGCAAGGACCTAGGTTTGCAGAAGTTACCGACTCAGCAGGTTGCTAGACAGCCGTGTGGATCACACCGTACTGTCTTGAGCACGCAACGCGGTTCCTCTGAAAGAACGGAGATTGAAGAGCTTCCTGCGACCGCTTCCCTCTTCTGATAGAGGCTGCATGAAATCATACTTCCGCGCAAGTCAAAGTCCCAAAGAGCCCAAGTCTCCCAAGTCGCTGCTTGTCGCTCTAGACTATTAAGGACGATGTCGAAGACTCGACTGCACAAGGGCGCCCAGTAGTCACTTCGGAAGCTTGCGCCTGCTCACTTCAGGCCCTGATGGCTGGTCAATCCTGGGCACCATATTCACGCCACTTTCGAGTCGTTGCTTGGAAGCAAAGCTCCAGGTTTCCGGCTGTCGTCGAAGGCGCGTGTTCAATTGCAGACAAAACACGGTCTCGGCAATCGAACTGAACTCGCGTTGATCAGAGTCTGGTGACAAGCTGGCATACTCAGGCTCTGGCACCTGCTGCCATGAAACTTTCCACCTCGAAATCACTATCTGCCAAACATCGTTCGGAAGTCTATTGGCTGCTTTCACAGTAGCTGCACTATCATCGCAGATTTGCAGCGGACTTGTAGTGCAGCCTGGCAGCAGTGATCTCCAGGCTGTTTGGGGGTCTGGCTGTCGCGGTGGACGGGAAATCGAGCCTCACGACAGCTATCTAACAGACTACATTCAAACGCTGTCTGCTGCACAACATTTTGGACTGCAACCTGCAACTACAGCAACCCAAATCCAGAACACGCCTGACTTTGGAGCGGCTTGTTCCACGTCAATGCCCCTTGTTGTCATGTTTCACCAAACAACCACGTAACGACGGCCACCAAGCACCAACAACCACCAAGCCAACACCACCAAGCCAACGCCGCCCAGCCAACGCCGCCAACGCCACCAAGACTAACATTAACATCCACAACAACAGCAGCGGCTGTGGCGGCAGCAGCAGCAGCAGCAGCACCACCACCACCACCACCACAAGCACCACAAGCTCACAAGCACCACAAGCACCACAAGCACCACAAGCCCCACAAGCACTACAAGCACCACAAGCACCACAAGCACCACAAGCACCACAAGCACCACAAACACCACAAGCACCACAACCACCACAAGCACCACAACCACCACAACAACCGCAACAACCGCAACAACCGCAACCACCACGACAACGGCAACAACCACAACAACCACAACAACCGCAACAACCACGACAACCGCAACAACCACAACAACCGCAACAACCACGACAACCACAACAACCACAACAACCACAACAACGGCAACAACCGCAACAACCACAACCAACAAAAACCACAACAACCACGTCTCCGTCTCCATCTCCGTCTCTGTCTTTGTCTCTGTCTCTCGTACATCAACGAAGACCACACACCAGCGACACCACCGCAAACAGCAGCAGAAACGGCACCAGCAACATTACTGACGGCAGCCAGTCATATCAGCAACGAGTTGCACAAGAAGCAAATGCGCAAGCAGCACCGATGGCGGCGGCGGCGGCGGCAGCGGCGGCAACAGCAGCAGCAGCAGCAGCAGCACCAGCAGCACCAGCAGCACCAGCAACACCAGCAACACCAGCAACCGGAGCAAAGCGATGTTTGCAGTTTGATGCTTTTCTGCATCCGCTTGCACCACACTCAGTCTCTGAGGATGCAGATGTCTAGAGTAAAAATCCGCAGTCACGTCTTTGCGCACACGAGCGAACGGTACTTGTGCCCATGTCGATTTGGCACACCTTGAAGAAGAACGGTCGCAGGTCGCATGTGCTTGCGCGGCAAGCTTTTCCGCTCACCAGGGGCAAAGGTGGGAAAGCCAACCACCACCTTGTAAGGTTTGGAAATGAACCACTGCTGAGGCATTCCCATACAATGCAAGGCCATCCAAGATCACGTTCTGTGGATTTCTCGAGCTGCTCAATGAAGGCTGATCCAGCAGCTCGGTTTTTCCTGGACCTGCGCTTTCAGCCTGGGTGGTAGCATCATCGCGTCTCCTGTGCAGTCGGGATCCGCGTTCCAAGAAGCGGAACTGCAGGACCTAGATGGGCATCGCTGAAGACTTCAGACGTCGGCAAAAGGGGAAAGAAGTGCACCCCCGGCACCGCATAGCACACTCAAGCATTGAGCCTCCACCTTCCTTCGATGCCAAAGAAGGAGCACAAAAAACAAATGGAAAACATTCGGAAACATACTGAAAATCATACTAAAAGCACTGAACTCCACGCATTCTGCAAGGATGCCCTATATGCCCAAACTCACCGCGAGAAGCTGCGGAATGACCATGGACTCCATCGGGCTGCGGCAAGGGAGGCCAGCTCGCCTCAGCACTCGGGCTGCAGTTGGCAGGTTTCTCTTGGTAAAAGCTCGTAAAAGCTCGAAAAAGTTAAAAAGGATCTCGAAGAGATCTTCTGAGTCACTATCTCGACGAAGTTCCTCCGAGGCAAACTGCAGTGCCCCACTATCCTGCGAAACCGCGATCCGGACCTGAGCAGCCATCCACAAGCCAACGGAAGCAAATGAAAGAACGGATGGCTGTGGAGTGCATTTCCCAGGTTCGCTGCAACCTCACGGTCTGATCTCAAAGTCTCTGAAGCAAACTGCAATGCTGCACCTGCCGGGCATGATGAAGCCAAGAGAAGCTAAGCGGAAGTGGGTGTGATCTGTCGTGTTTTGTCTTCGAGTCTTCGATCCAAGAAAGGATCTACGCTTCGCGCCTCTGCAGGCGAGAACGACTAGCATGTCTGCACGGCGGTTGAGCAGCGACCGCGCTACGAAGCGCATAGCGCCAAGGTTCTGCGTAACGGCAGCAGCAACCACCTGTCACCAAAATCTGAAAGCTAACGCTTACACGCTGTGCTGTACCTAAAGAGAGGTGTAGCGCAGCAGTGCAAGGCCTCGATGTCTTCTTGCATGGTCTCCCCGACACCTTGCCAACAGCCCGTCTTGGTTGGGAGGGTGCTTCTTGCCCACATTGGCCCACATTTTCCCACCTGTGCTCCTGCCTTCAGCTGTGGCCCCCGGCTCTCTAAAGCCCGCCAATCCAGGCTGACTGCTGCGAGAACCACGTCCCGGTCATTCCGCAACACATCAGCCTCGGACATGGAGGCGAAGAACTACTGTAGGATGTGCCATGACGTGGCTGCATGGAAAATCTGAGCAATGGATGGCTCCATATGAGCCCCATTGTATCTTCTAGTCATCGAGAACGGGCTGGAGGATCTCAAACAAAATGAAGCCATGCGCGATTGTCAGTTCTGATTCTCCAAGCTTGTTTGGACTCCGGTTGTCTACGGGAACCGGTGGCTAAGCTTGGCCCCAAGCTTCTTGGCAACTGTCTTTCCCTTCCTCTCTGTCCTTCAAAGCCTGCGTTGCCTGTCCCTCAGATCTCTGCTCTCTACACACAAGCACCTTCCTACCAGTAGCAGTAGGGCCTACGGCATAACTCTCAATTGCTTGTTGGGTATTTGGACGATTGTCAGAAGACTTAGCTCATGAGATCAGGCTTGAAAGCTGTGAAGAGGTGGCTCCAGTCCCAGGTCCACCACCTGACAGCTCAGGTGGCACAGATAGGGTCAGATGTCGTCAGATGTGGTCAGGTCCGGTGACTGCGTTTCCTTGCCCTCGCCTTCGAGCGGCGAGCTTCACAAGCTCCGAATCGTGCCGCAGGCTGGGCTCCGCATACTGCAGGGCCAGACCATTTTGCTGGACAGCCACAGCTACGACCTGACGCGTGCAAGAGTGCGAAAGCGCATGAGCTCTGCCTAACTCTGCTTTAAGCTCCACTATGCTCCCCAAAAAATGGGAGAGATGAGCCCGAGTCCGTGCCTTGCAACAGCCACGCAGCGAGCTCGAAGCGAAGCGGAGGGCAGTGCCGTCTGCGGCAACAGCCACAAGCACAACACTTCGGTCTGCCTGAGGCATATGCCAGACACATCAAACATCAGACATATGACATATCCCTCCAATCCCTCCAATCCCTCCAATCCCTCCAATCCCTCCAATCCCTCCAATCCCTCCAATCCCTCCATTCCCTCCAATCCCTCCAATCACATTATTGTCACTATTGCAGATTCTCGGCACGGTCCTGACAGAACCTTTTTCTGAAGCACTAGCCCAGCTTCATAGCTGCTACTTTCTACAAGTAGCGAATGCCTAATTTCGGGGAAGGGCATGGAAAGAGCATGCAAAACAAGTTTCAGACAAACATTGCAGGAAGAAGCTGGCAACCGTTTCCGTCTACATGCTGACTTGCACGCACGACGGCCTACGACGAAACTTGACAGTCGTAACCAAACACGTTATTGTGATAAATGAGCTCCTACATTGTTACATGGCCTGTAGATCCTCCGTCGTCAGCTCCAACATCTGGCCATGCTGCTGCAATGCCACCTGTACCACCTGACACCAGGTGACTGCGGTTGAAAACTTGACCTTGGGGAAATGCATGCGCTTCGGATATGGTGCTTCCGACCTCTTTGTCGCCCAGCCGACCCGTGTGCGGCAAGGCATTGGCATCTATGTGGACAGCAGCCAGGGCAATGTGGCGGTTGTCTTTGATGGCCTGTGCAAACCAAGCGCATGTTGGGTAAGTGCCTGTGTGATGAGGCACAACTTGTGCGTGGCATGGAGTTTCGTGAGTCTCGCCAAGATTGATTGCTTTCGTGTTGTACCAGGCCTCAGCATGTAAGTGTAGATAGCATGGGGCTTCAAGGTTGCAGGGTTCATGGGCTGTGGTTGAAGCATGCCTTTCTCCCAGTGAGCCGCAGGGAGTTAGGATGTTTGTTCTTCTTTCCTGGATATCTGTAGCCATTTGAATTTCGACCCTCCCCAGCACAAATGCCCCGACCTTCTCCTCAAAGAACCAGGCCCAGTCAGCGAAGAGGAAGCGCCCTGGTGGGGACTGAATCAGAGGATATGGTTACTCCAAACACCACGCAGCAGCTCGGTCACAAACGGCAATGCATGTGCATGCAGGCCACTGGCCGCAGTGAGAACGAGGGTTTGGTCCTCTTGCAAACAGTTTGAACAGATGGTTCAGTTCAAGCTAGGCTTCACACTTGGACGCTTCACTTCGGGCGAACAGCCGACGGAGAAAGTTAAATGTCGAAAGGTGGAATGACACCATCAAAACGGGAAGTATGCAAAGCAGAAACGTAAAAGCAGCACAGAAATTCGAAACAAAGCAACTGTCTTAACACTAAACTGCACACAACCCAAAAAGGCAAAAGGTGTTACACCAGCGAAGACCCCAAACGGCGTGTTCCCCAAACTGGCTTTGCCCCCCAAGAAGGAAGCCCTGAATAGACTGTGGGAATGACAAAGACCGCTCCTATGTGTTTACCCCTGCTACCAGCTGGGAGTTGGAAGTCAGGCAGTGTTCCCTTTTGGCCAGTCTAGCACAGACACTTACGACTCACTTGCCTGACGGCAGCCCCGTGGAATCAAGAGGGTTGCCGTTCTGGCCAGAACGACGAGGCGTCACTACACGTTGGAGGCCAGGCAAGCATGACAACTTCCGGTCTTGGTCAGTACATAACAGACATACGTGACAGCAACCCTGGCTTGCCGAGTCATGCGCACACACACACACACCCACGCGCGCGCGCGCGCGCGTCATGTGTGTCACGCATGCGCCCCCTGCACGCGCGCTGTCTCCTTCCACTTTTGAGGGGTGGATATTGGGCAAACATCAGTCCTGCTGCAGACCCTCCGAGGCAAACCTTAGTAGCACGATGAAGCACAAAGATGCACAAAGCACTTGCAAACCCAAAAAGATGTGCTCAAGCACCAGATCAGCTGGGCAGCTGCAACGCGCGCCCATTCCTGACCACAGCCGTGAGGACCAGGTCGCGGTGCTCGCGGAGGGCCTCTGCGACGCCCGAATCTTCGAAGCGGAGCTTCGAGAGACAAGAGCACTGGCACAAAATGTGAAAACAACAAATCAGAACACGAAGCCACTTGAGCATGCAGCCTCAGATGCGAAGGCCAGAGCCATTGCATTTTGCAGGACAGCTTCTCGAACGACTCGCTGATCAGCCCGTAGCGTTTCATCAGCAAACCTTCCGACATGCAACACATGCGACAGGATTCTGCTGGCACTCCTTGCTTTGCGAAGCTGCAAGCTGCAACGGCTATGGCAGCTACTGGAGCGCAAGGCCATTCTCGCGGACAGCTCGCAGCACCGTCGATGCTTGCCGTCGCAACTTCTCCGGAGCAAGTTGAAGCACCAGGCCATTAAGGGCAACCTAGATTGCTTGCACACTCAGGAGTCACAGCAGCTTGATGCTTGCCGCTCACAAGATTTCGCCATGGCACAGCACGATCCATGAATTGCATGTCAGAACGGAAACCGTCCGAGATGTATGTACCAGCCCGCCATTCCAGTCCTAGATGGGCAGGACTTGTTCAGCACTGTTCAGCGCGAGCAAAATACACAGACTTGCCTCCGGTCCTATAGCAGTTTCAGCTACATCTCTGTCTTCAACCACTTCTGAACCTCCGGAGCAGCAGTCGATAGTTTTTGAAGTAAATTTGGAAATGCTGGCACCGTACTTGGAACCGAGTGGCAGCTGAAAACGCGAAGCCAGTCAATGCTTCCGGACATGTCCGTTGCAGCAGCTTCGATGACAGAACGATTCCGCTTCATCTCAACTGATGCCTCAGGCATTCAGTGCCCAGGCAATTGGGTTTGTCGATGTTTTCACTGCGCAAGTCGCTCTGCAAACAATATGGTTCGCCAGTTCAACTTAGACTCCCTACTAAGTACTACTAAGTATTAATAAAGACCAAGAGGTCGAGGATGGCGTCACAAAATGCCCAAAGCAGCTCAATCGCAGGGCAGGGCAGGAAAAGCTTCAAGAGCTCGAGAGGGGCCAACTCTGCCGGTCACACGCATGTTCTTTCGCTCAGAACTGTATAAGAATATACCGCAGCAGCAGATGCATCAGAGCTGCAAATCGTACTGCTGCTGCATCTTGGCTCACGGCCTTCAATACCTCAGCACTGCACTTTTAATCGGAGATGCGTGGAGCCATTTTCAGAAACCGAGGCGATCACGACATCCACGTCTCCTTGAAGGGACGCCGAGCAAAACTGCAAGGCCACACCGCACTTCGCAACCGCGGCCAAAGCCAGCGCCTTGTCGCAGCGCCTTTGGAGATGCAACATGAAGGAGATTGAACAGGGAGTTTAATTGCCAGGGGGTAGCTACCATGGCTCGAAAAGAGTCGAAAAGCAGCCCGACCCGGAGCCGAGGCACAACCGTCTCGAGGCGTACTCCAAAGCAGCTCCGTCTGAAGAGATGGCTGCTAGGACCAGAGCGCGATCATCCTGGCAATGCACGTGTCGGATTACTTGTGATGCTTTTACATTCGCGGGAGGCCACTCCTGCAGCTTCTCAGTGGCATGCTTCAGACGGCAACCTTCACATTGAACCGCTGAAAGGACCACCTGCATCATCTTTAGAACGATGTTTTGAACTTTGCTTTGCTTGCTGATTGCTATGTCTGTATCGCAGGTCAGGCCTCGCGATCGGATTTCAGGTTCTCGGCGAGACGCTTGTCATGCAGGAACTGAATCAAGTCTCGGGCATAATGTTGACAGTTGCCTTACACGTCCGCTTTCTTCACCAATCGCCCGCTGCCACTGCTCCACAGATAAACATACACACAATCCGACGAGGTGCGGATTTATGACGTTTGGCAAAAAGAGCAACCCCATTTTCAATCCCCCTCAGTTGCGGGCAAGCCCCCACAGAGCTCCGTAAATAGAAACAAATACAGCTAGAATACATCCGGGTTAAAAACAGCACAGCAAAGAGAGATACAAACAAAGCTTTACAAATAACAGAGTCAATACTTCTAAAAGTGTAGTCAAAGCAACATAAATAACAACCATGACTTCGAACGACATAACTGCCTTTACTAGGGGTTTCTCTGGCTTGGGGTTTGCGTGATTATCATTAAAGCACCGATAACGTTGTAAAAAGAGAGTGGCTCTCTCAGCAACTGAAGTCCTGCATCAAAGAGCAGCGGCGGCAAGACGGGCGAGGCAGGCTTGTTGCCAACTACGCTTCATTTTGTCCAGTGTCCAGATTGGACGAGGGCGAAACGTACTGGCAACTGCTTGTTGGTTGGCGAGGTTAGATAGGGATGTGCGGAATGCTAGGTGCACAGGATCGGATGTAGTGCCCAAAATTACTTGGTAAAGGGTGCAGCCGCTGGGTAAAGCACGAGGAAGAGAACTCACGCTACGCAAAGGATCCCTGCAAAATGACAGCACAGCATGACGCGAATGCTGCACATAAACTGTTCTCGAAACGCTCACACGCAACTCTGCATGACAGGTTGCTGCAACAGACATGTTCCACTTGCTGCGATGGTGACTGCTGGCAAATGCTGCACCCGGAATGCTCCGCTTGCAACTGCTGCATGATGGATTGCTGTACTCAACACGCTCTACTTACTGCACGAAACATTGAGGATGAAGACTCCGAAATGCTCCGCTGTAGTGTTCACAAGGTTGGTCGGATACTCCATAGATCAAAACCAACAATGGCGATGAAACAGCGCATAACTTGAAATGCCGCTTTTCTAAAGACAATCACATAGCAGGTTCGTCAAAAGAGTGTCCTCTCTTTGGCTCGACTTCACAACTTCTCAGCATTGTCTTCGTTTGATGGAAGTCCACTGCCCCATCCCCTGATTTCTGCAATGCATCACGTCGTTGGTGTCGCATGTAAAGCGATGTTCCCCATACACGCACACACACACACAGAGGCACAGGCATACACACACACACACACACAGAGACAGAGTGATGGTCTGTGATGATCCACTGCGGTTTGCATCCATGGTGCTGTTGATCAAGCAATATGGTCGCCAAACCATGGCCAAAGGGCCACAAATCCAATCGACCAGGTCTTGAAGTGTTACAACCTCCATGGTGACAAATACAAGTGCAGAACTCACAGTAGGGGAGGAAAGAGCTGAAAACAAACTGAGGCTAAGATTGCATCATAAGGTGCTGCGTTTCAGCATGCTGCATGTCATCGGGTTGTTAGTATCTCCGTATCTGCAATTTGGCAGGGAGTGGAAAAGACCTGCCTGGCATCGGAAGGGCTGATTCTTGGGCAGCACACTTTCTCGAGACAGAGTGTTGGGTCAGATTGGATTGACATGCTCACAGTACGCCCCCGTCGTTTTGAGTTGTTCGGCAGGTTTGGGTGAGACATTTTGACGCTCTCCTCCCATAGGAAAACCAAGGCGGCGTGTGTCCCGCGACCAAACTCTTTGCACATTTGCATCTTGCTAGACCCGACGCAGGAAGTGGCGGCATGTGCATACAGTGCATATTGCTGGTCGGCTTCGCAATCTGTGATGGTGTGTGGTGTCAGCCAAACTCACATCTCACAGAGAGGCTTCTTGAAATTCTTAGGGAAGCTGCAGCCCTGCAAGCGCAAGCGCCTGGCCGACGAGGTCAACTTGGCAGTGCTGCAAGCTTGGCTTCCGTGGCTCGCCTCTTCGACAGAGGGAGTCTCTGAATTTCAAATTTGTTGCATTTCTTACATGCCTTGTTCTGAAAAAATACAAAATCGTTGGCCGAATGGCTTCAGAATGGCTTCAAATACGGTGCTTGCTGCTCTTCTCTTTGCTCTCGGCTTCTCTCCCGCCTGTGGCGCGATGACTTCTCCCAAAAGCACAGAGCGTGTCGAGCTCGCCGTACATCAGCTCCAGCTTGTCGTTGTACTTCTCAGTGCAAATGGCAAGGCCACCTTCCAATCGGATGCTACAGCGGGATTCATTGCCAGGACGGCAACATGGCAACATACATCGCTGTGGCAAGGTGGGCCTTCGACTTCCAGGAACATAAACGCATGGTAAAACAGCAATGTCAAGTACCTTGTGCCAGATCTTCCAGAGTGACAAGCGCAGACGTCCAGGGAACTAAGCCAGCTACCAGCCATTGCAGCAAGCAACTGGTAGCAGTGCAGCCGAGATGCTGTCCTTCGCTGAATTTCGAGCGCCACTCCGAATAGGAAGTGATTGCAGCGTGGGGGTTTACTTGCAGTAGATCCTCAGCTCTTGCCTGCAGTCCACAGCACCCGACGATGCTGAGAGGAGTACTCAGAGAACTGCAAGGTTGTCTTGAAGTCGGCAGCAGCAGCAGCAGCAGCACAAGCAGAGGCACAAGCAGAGGCACAAACAGCTCAGTCTCGCCTACCGGTTTTGCGGTAATCCGGCAATCTACGCTCACAAAGCTGAAAGCGACTTTCGCCTTGCAAAAGAGCCATTTAGTCCTACTGGCCTCCTTCAGCGTCACATATAGTGGCCAATCGAACCCACTCGAGATTAGGGTCGCATCTGGATCCTCTTGCTGAGCCACGCAGACCTCCCTGCAGAACACGCCTCACAACAATGTTCAACAAGATCAGAGCATCACTGCCTTTAGAAAAATGGAGTGCACAGCAATGTGGCAAGCATGACAACATGTCCGGATCATACTCGTGTGTCAAAGTGCTGTTGGTCCAGCTGTCCCTATTGGCCCGGGATAAGCAGGCATTGTCCACCAAAGGCTGCGCCGTCCTTCATAAGATGCGCACGGACAACGAATTCCAAACAGCAACTGGCCACTGGCCACCGCGGGGACCACCATAGATCAGTACGAGAATTACAAGAACAAGATGGAACCAGTTCGGTGAGTCCGCTCCTGCAAGGGCCCGTGTCCACAACCGATGCGGCCCACCGCTGAATGCTCTCCATGGCGACCAGGACACATCAAGCTTTCGCTCACTGTGAGCTTCACGCATGGACCAGACGTGCTTCAGGGCGCCTACACTGAAGCTACACTGAAAGTTGCAATGACCTGACATTTGCGACTTTCGCTCGCTGCCGCAATGCCGTAGCTTGGCTGCGCGTTGCACGGTGGAGATGCGAAGTCGAGTTTCAACAGTGGCCAAGGCAATGCCCATGCCTTCCAACTGTCAACCTGAGACAACGGCATGTACCCATCGCCAACCTGCTTGAGCGTAGCATTGTCCTCGTATGGGTTTGGATCGCAGGCTGATCCATCAGGAGCCAACAAGACAAAAGCTGTCCGAAGTTGTCCTGGAACATCTCGAAGGTCCCCGTTGGGTCTTCGAGAGACAAAATGTCCCCCAGCAGGCATGCCTCCGGAGTTACGAAACAGCAGCCCGTAATTGCGAATCTGCATGACACGAAACCAGACCTACTAAGTTACTTGCTACCTGCCCACCACGGATACTTGATGCGATCTTTCGTGCATCGTTGCCTGTGTCACAGTGAAATGGATGATCAAGACCTGTCCAGCGAGACCAACTTTTGAAAAGCTCTGGCCGCCAAAGACCATCTGATGGAAGCACCGTTTCCCGCAGAAGAAGTCTTGGCGGAAGCTGCTGGAAGATCATGTCGTTTACGTCTCCGACCTGGCTATACATAGAGCATGGAAGCCACAAAGAAACCAGCACGGTAGGAGTGTCACAGCTGTGTGGACAAGCCGGCTGCACAATGCTCCGGGAGGTCCCAATCTGAAGCGTGCTGACCTCAAGACTTGGCTTTCGGAAAATCTATGGCGCTCCGGGTTTGGAAAGGGCCTCCAGAGCTCCTGGAAGTCGCCAGGACACCTGGAAGAAACAATTCTGCACAGTTCGATGCGCGACTGTTTCTACGCTGTTCAAGGTTTTGATCACTTGGGAAAACACCAAAGGGCCGCTGGAGTCGGCAGCCACCTCTCACCGGCATCATCGCGCACATCATGATGCGCAAGAAAGGAAGAGAAGAAAGGATGTAAGAAAGAGGGCGCCCTCTCCATTGTCGTTCGGACGTTTGGACATGTTTGACATATCTTTACGATTCTTTACACGTGGACCTCATTTCCCATCTGGCCAAGATCAAAGGTCACCAGCTCGAACTCGGCCAGTCCTCCACCTTAGCATGAAATGAGTTGCGAGCACGTGTGAGCATTTGCGACTTGTCACAGCTGTGCACCATGTGCACGCGGGCCGAAAGCCCCGATTGTCGGTCAAATCATCAGCACTCTTGTGAACTTTCCTCCGGCGCTTTGCTCAATGGTGCCTCACCATCCGAAGCCCTCTATGACAGCGCTGCACAATGTGCACGCGCAAACCTGGTATCCACCTCTCGACCACCCCCTATGTCTGACTTTCTCCGTATGTGATTCAAAAGTGATTCAAGCGTATGACGCATGCAAAACTCTGGGGTTGGGGCCGTTGGCCAGCTTGACCTTAACTTTTCAGTCTCAGGTCGACAGCCATCTACGCTGACACTCCACCGATGACGCTCTGTGGATGTCTGTGGCATCCGTAGCATCTCGTAATCTGAAACTACAGCAGCATGTTGCAGCATGTTGGGCGGCACCTCTTGCATCAACAAAATCAAGCCCGCACAGAGTGCTTCTCTAGAGCAGCACATGTTACTACGAGCCCGAGGCATTTCGGATGTCTCTCTGGAAGATGACCTGTGCCTTGCGCAAGACTCGCAAAGGCAATTGAAAGCTTCACAAAGGTTGCATGCCCCACGTCGGATAATAGGGATTCGAGCCAAGCCAAGAGACGCAGTCGAAGGGACTCATACAAGCCGGCACTATGCTTCGGGTCACTCAAAAAGATGGTCGTTCAGAGTTTCTCGATGGCGACGTGGTGGCAGCTGGTACGGATACAGAAAGTGAATGGCCGCAACATCGAGTGCTGTTGTACACGGCCAGATTAGCATCCCCTGTAGCACTGCCTTGATGGCGACGTTCTCCAGCACGAGCACCTGGAGCATCGCAGTGGCCAGATTCCAAGTCAGTCAGACGCTGCCGGGTCACGACCGCCAACCCTTGGTGCCCTGGTCCCGTGCGTGCGGTGAGGCAGCCGATGCTGATGCGCTCACACACGTGGTTGCCTTGCTGTGCAGTCGCTACGACCACACGGCATGTAGCATCATGTAGCTAAGGGTCAGACTCCGTCAACAGTCTCACAGACCTCCACAGCCTGCAAGCGGCAGAGGCTCAAGATGGCAATTGCCCGTGGCCACAGCTTGCAAGCCGCTTGCCTGAAAATCCCAGCCACTGGGGCTCTGCGCAATCAGGACGAGCTTGCTCGCCTCAATCATTCCGCTTGGTTGCTAATCCCTTGTCTCGCAGCTAAGCATGAACATGTGGTAGTGGTACTGCGCCCATTCTTCTGTCGACCGGTCCTTTGAATGACCCGAGCGCGTCCAAACTAAAACAGCCGCAGGATCCTCCCCGAGAAAGTCTGAAAAAGGCCCCCAGCTGGGGGGGGGGGAGGGGGGGGGCGGGGAGGCTGAGGCCTTGCAAGTGACGGGATGACATCAAAGACCGCTGATGCTGTGGTCACCAGCCGCTGAAACATGTTTTCGAGCTTTGCACTGGCTCGGCTCCCGCCCGTGCGTTCCCCAAAACAAAAACGGTTTGCAACTGCTAAAAGAAGGCTTCATTCAAAAGGCTGCATCAAGGGCCGATCAAGGGCCGATCAAGGCTCTCGTGCATCTCTTGTCTTTGGGACTCTTGTTTGCAACGTTTACATGACATGCCTCGAGACAGCTTGTTGCAGTGTCCACGATGCCTTCAAGTTCGGTTTCACAGCATGCTTTTCACTGGGCAAGGGCGCCTTGAGCAGTCCCAAGCGTAGATGAGTTGATGCAAAGTTCGTAGGACATGGTAGTTCAGGAGGCAAAAGGGACTTATGCCAAAGCCAACGGCAAGGGATGTGAGAATCTGGCTGAAGGCCGGTTTACCGTCCCATCTCAGTCATGTAAGCCAGGCTCAAATGGTGCCGTCATGGGAGCAGAATGTATGTCCACCTTACGAACTTTCAAATCCAGGTGGTCGTGTTGCTTTAGTCAAGAAAGCAGAGATACCAGGCATTTTGCGACAGAGGTAGGCCAAACCATGCGGAGGTGGTGGTGAGGTGCGGCCTACCGGCATTGTTACAGTGTTCAGCCGGGTCTGAACAACGCGGGCTTCCGCGGACAACAGCCTACGTGCAGCGCTACCTCATTCAGATCGGCATGGCCCGAAGAACCTAGTGTCTATGGATACCAAAGATCTTCTCGCAGTCGACCAATTTCAGAATGGTCAAGGTGGTGGTGAAGTTCCATGCGAAAGAGGGTCCGATTCGCAGAAGACAAAGGACCTGAGTAGCCGAAGATTGCTTGAGATGCGTGAGTGACTGCGGACGGGACCGCTGTTGCTGTGAAAACTCCACATCGCTGAGCACAGTGGTGGCGCATGTTTACCTCATGTTGGAGAATCGGCGCGGAGAAATCTAGAGATCATGGTTCCCAGACCCTATCGCACACAAGGAAGCCTGAAGTTTGCACAAGAAGATGCCACAGCGTTAGGGCTTGCCAGAAAGCAAGGTGCAGAACTTTCAAGGTTTGGTGCTTGCTTTTTTGTAGGCATGATGTCACGGAGTTGTTGGGCGTTTCATGATCGCCTCAGTTCTCGATGCAACAAGTGCTGGCGATGTGCTCGACAGGATGTTGGGCATCAAGTGGACCTTGCTGCAGTAGAGGTTTTGGGAGATGGTCATGCCATCGTGTCTGCCGAAGAGCCCCCAACCAAGAATGGCTATCGCCTGAACCGAATGCAAAGGTCTCTTCGTTCAGAAGAGCAAGAGAAGCAAACTTCACAGCGGCAAACGAAACCGTGGCAAGAGTCGCAGGTGGTTTGTGCAGACATGTTCAAACCGTTCAACTGGAACCTCATTTTGGACAGTAAGCCGTGGGTTGCCAAGCGTTGCCTGAGCGTTTTTGCCATAACCGTGAAACACGAGCGGCATGATCAGCATGCCTCCGAGAGTGTTCTTTCCTTTTTCCAGTTGTATGGCGATGTCAACATCTGCGGCGAGACCGATCGAATCCTGCATGCAATTGGCCAATGGCCTGCTTTAGAGTGTAGAGATGACAATGTTGAAACAGCTGAGTCGAGTGGCTTGAAAGTTTGGAAGCAGAATGGCATGTTCTATGATGTTCATAAGTATTTGGCTGCCTGAGTCCACTATCCAACGGGAGGCGGGTAGATCGCATGTGGGAAAATCCATCAGCTTTGAGCTCACGAAGTGGTTGGATGTCTCTCAACATGTGCCCGCAACTCATCACGCTTGTGAGTTTGCATTGGATGTGGCTTCGTTCTCGCACGGGAGATACTCGCAAGAGGCTGGTCACGAGAGCTCAACAGGAGCTGATGGGAAGTTCAACTCCGAGGCAGTCCGCACTATGCGAGAGCTGCTCTTTAAGAAGATGTTGGTGAAAGCGTGCTTGTGTTGCTCATGCTGGAAGGGCCTGGCCCCAGAGGTTGCACCATCAAGGGCGTGTGCAACATGAGTGCTCCAGCCTGTACTGAGGCTAAGGAACGCGGCTTCAAGAATTTGCTAGTCCATGCTTGTGCAAGGGTTTTTTACGGACCACGGAAAATGCTTGTGCAGGCCCTCTTCCAGAACAGAAAGCGCGCCGTTAGGCACGGAGTGGCGGTTTGTGCTCCTAGGAATACACCCCCCCCTCCCCAATAATCTCGGGAAAATCCCTCCACTCCCGGAACGAAGTTTCCTTTCACTACCGCTACCGAGATCCTCATGAGCACCACCCGGACATGGCAGAAATTGTGAGCGTGCGCCCTGTGATCAAGAGAAGGTTGTGGAGACGCGTGAACATCTTAGGCCAGCTTGATTTTGTTCCATAGATTCTCCGCAGTATGTGCTGCAACGCGCTTTGTGCAATTGAAGATGTGCAGCGGGTCTTTCTGTCGATTGAGGTGGCTTCAAGATATCTTTCCTGTGCACCACCTCTGGGCGGAAGCAAAGAAGAAAAACAGACGCCTCCTGATGATCAACAAGCTGCACCGGATCCTCCTGCGGATCCGCCAGCGGCCCAGATGGCAGTCCTAGGCATCGGCTCGTTGGCAAGCAGATGCCACCTGCGATTCTTCGGAAGCACCCTGATGAAGTCCGAGGGCAGGCGGCTCAGATGCACCCGTTGTGGCCACCAATTTTCTCAGGGCGCATTCCAAACCGGTTGTTACGAAAATGCCGGGCGAGCTAACTTGAGGACCATCATTAGCTGCGAGTGAAAGAAGTGGATTGCCCCAACGCATGGTGGTCCCCTTGTCTGGGGGGACCGAAACAATGACCAAATCAATCTGCTCGATGCCCTCCCCCCAATGCTTGCACCATTACCTATCGACAATCAGATAAAGACAAGGCCATCTGTGACCCACCAGGAGCATGTTTGCAAAGCACAGCGTTTTTGTTCCGATTATTCTGCATACTGCAAAAACTGTGCTTCATTTATTGTCACAAAGTTCCCAGAGCTGACAGCGCCCGCGACAAAGACAACTGCATGAAGTGGAGTCCTGCTTACATCGCTTCTGGCCGTACAGCTGAGCAGCGCTTGCTTAGCCATGAGGCCATTGCTACCGTTGTCACTTGATGACTCCAGCTGTCCATGTGAGGCTTGCCATACAGATGGTTCACTCGTGCAGTTTGCAAGAGCTGCATCCAATCACTCTCGATGCTTGCCTCCTGACTTTCGACTCTATTTTCGCTGAACCTCTTAGATGTTACAGTGGATAAATATATTTGTGTGGCTTCACTCGTCCTCATTTGCACTTTAGGCATCGACTTCTTCCCTTTGAAGGGCCGATCAAGGGCAGCTACTGTACGAGTAGAGATCCCCTGGTCACTTCACAAGGAAAACGTCGGGTGCGCAAATGGTGACATGCCGACATCACGCTGAAAGCCGTTGAAAATCGAGTACTAAAGCAAGGTCTCCCTCAGACTGCTGAGCACTCAACTGCATTTGCTGGCACAAAGGAAATCTGGAGCACCTCATTCCAGAATTGCGACCCAACGAACCCACAAGTATCGGCCAGGGCAAAGCTAGCCCTGCGCCCACTCTAAGCAGCACGCGCCGCCGACAGCACCCGCACGCGTGGGGCCCGATCCCAAGCGAACTTCGGGACTCTGCATCGCCTCAGCCCGTTCTGCTCACATTAGAAACAGTGCGGCTGCTTTCTACCATGTCAAGGCTGCTAAGGCGTTCGTCTTCACCGAACTCTCAATCCGGACCTGTTTGTTATGCCGCCGTGCCTGTGGGTCTTTGCATGCAAGATACCGCAAGTGCACAAAGGGCCCGACCGTCTCGAACTGCCACCTTCGTCGCAGAATTTCGTAAGTGTCAGCATGCATTCATGTGGTCACGCAGTCACGCTGCGCTGATTCAGCTGGGTCACCCTCGGTACACTCCGGCGCTTACTGGCCTTGGCATGCAAGCAAGTATCGACAACACCACTAAAGCAGACCAACATTGCCGCCAAAAGTGTATGCTGAGCGCCCGGCGCTGTCTGATCCTCGGCCTTTGGGATACGGAAACGTCTCTGTGGCTCAATCTGAAGAAACATGAACAAACTACGCAGTCGCCGCTCCGGCCCCGACTGACCACATCTCGGCAAGCCAAATGTTCCTTGCACGCGTGACAACTCAAAGCCGCCCTTGTGCCAGTGCACCGACCCCTTGATCATGGAATCATTGGTGAAAAGGTAAGAATGCACTAAGAATCGGCAAAGATGTGTAAGGGTATGCTTAAGCACAGCCTTACGGCCTCCTAACAAAGCTGCGGAATCCGAGCACTGAACCCAGTGATACGTGAGATCGTTTTACTGTCATCGCTGTACATTGCTGCCATCCTTGTTGTTGTACCAGGGGCCCGTCCCTTTCGGTCTCCGCACCGATGAAGAAGCTGAAACTGTGTAAGTGCCAGTGCCAGTGTAAGATAGTGTAAGAGTAAGTGTTTTCTTGCCTCCTTTCCGAGAACGGTCCCCCATCCAAAGTGCAGCCGCATGGCTCAAAAGAAATCGGCACTGTCGGGGGATAGATCATAGCGAGGCGCACCGTGAGAAGCGATCCACCTCGGAAGTGAACTGCGGGCCCACAAGAGCGCGCATGCTGCATGCATGTCCAATGCACAGACCGAAAACTTCACAGCAAGCAGACATTTTGGATTTAAGAGCATCAAGACTAAGAAAGGCCGTCGAAACGGTGACTGAAACCTCAAAGGGCTCCGTGGTCCCTCCAGACGGGCTTCAAGCCCTTGCAGGCAAGGCTTCCTGGGGGCTTCCAAATGCTTCCAAGACAAGGCTCTGCCTGAAGATGCAACCCATGAAGACATATGAAGACCCACCAATCACCGTGAATCACCGTGAATCACCGTGAATCACCATTGTCTGGTCAAGTTCCGAGGTCAAGGCAAGGCCAGACATCCTGCATTGCCGCTGGGTCTGTCCGGACAGTACATGTTGCAGCCTTGGCCCATGAACCGCCCCGAGCGACAAAGAGAGCCATCCCATCCCAAGACCCGATGCCACAAAGAGAGCTGTGAACCATGACGCCTCATCCGAACGAGGAGGGTTGATTAACGGAAGTTGAATGAGAAATGAGCAAAGCCTTGCTTGAAGGTCTGCGGCACAACCGTCCAGCATCTAGCCAGATACCCTGTTCCGAACAGAAAACCCTATTTGATCTGTTCCTGATTGGGCAAAGGTTGAAGAGCAGCCGCACAGTCAAATGCAAGGTATTTCTTCAGAGATTGTCCTCCCAGCTGCATGGCGCGGCAAGCCGTTCTGCACGGCAACAGCGACAAGAAGGAGCACCAACGTGCAAGCGCAAGCACCGCCCCCGTTCTTCAGCAGCCCTTGCAAGCTCATTCGCATCAGGATACTCCGAGAGCAGCTCAGCAAGGGCAAAGTCAGTTCCGAGGTGTGTCTTCACTTCGCACGTCAGAGATCGTAGCGAAGAAAACAGATTGTCCTCCCAGCTGCATTGGCGCCGGCCGTTTTGCACGGCAACAGCGACAAGAAGGAGCACCAACGTACAAGCGCAAGCACCACCCCCGTTCTTCAGGAGCCCTTGCAAGTTCATTCGCATCACGATACTCCGAGAGCAGCTCAGCAAGGGCAAAGTCAGTTCCGAGGTGTGTCTTCACTTCGCACGTCAGAGATCGTAGCGAAGAAAACAGATTGTCCTCCCAGCTGCATTGGCGCGGCAAGCCGTTCTGCACAGCAACAGCGACAAGAAGGAGCACCAACGTGCAAGCTCAAGCACCACACCCGTTCTTCAGCAGCCCTTTGCAAGTCCATTCGCATCAGGATACTCCGAGAGCAGCTCAGCAAGGGCAAAGTCAGTTCCGAGGTGTGTCTTCACTTCGCACGTCAGAGATCGTAGCGAAGAAAACAGATTGTCCTCCCAGCTGCATTGGCGCGGGCCGTTTTGCACGGCAACAGCGACAAGAAGGAGCACCAACGTGCAAGCGCAAGCACCACCCCCGTTCTTCAGGAGCCCTTGCAAGTTCATTCGCATCACGATACTCCGAGAGCAGCTCAGCAAGGGCAAAGTCAGTTCCGAGGTGTGTCTTCACTCCGCACGTCAGAGATCGTAGCGAAGAAAACAGATTGTCCTCCCAGCTGCATTGGCGCGGCAAGCCGTTCTGCACGGCAACAGCGACAAGAAGGAGCACCAACGTGCAAGCGCAAGCACCACCCCCGTTCTTCAGCAGCCCTTGCAAGTTCATTCGCATCAGGATACTCCGAGAGCAGCTCAGCAAGGGCAAAGTCAGTTCCGAGGTGTGTCTTCACTTCGCACGTCAGAGATCGTAGCGAAGAAAACCCATTGTCCTCCCAGCTGCCATGGCGCGGCAAGCCGTTTTGCAGGGCAACAGCGCCAAGAAGGAGCACCACGGCAACAGCGACAAGAAGGAGCACCAACGTGCAAGCTCAAGCACCACACCCGTTCTTCAGCAGCCCTTGCAAGTTCATTCGCATCAGGATACTCCGAGAGCAGCTCAGCAAGGGCAAAGTCAGTTCCGAGGAGTGTCTTCACTTCGCACGTCAGAGATCGTAGCGAAGAAAACAGATTGTCCTCCCAGCTGCGTTGGCGAGGCAAGCCGTTTTGCACGGCAACAGCGACAAAGATTCTCCGAGAGCAGCTCAGCAAGGGCAAAGTCAGTTCCGAGGTGTCTCTGTACACTGCTGTAGACATAGATGCCAGCAACTGAGCTCAGAACCCATGTGGTGGTGGTTGCCGTCCTGTTCAAGGGTATCGGTATTGGTCAGCTTTCTTGCATTGTGAGCATGTGTCTTGGATAGGAGTCGGACGTAGCGCTGATGTTGGAAGCCAAGATGGTACTTGTGGAGGTTGTGGTTTCCAAGACCTCTGCTTTGCTGCTGGAACTTCAGGAATCGAAGTACCATGACCGGGGCCTGGAGGGTGACCCTGCAGGACAGCACACCTTGGCAGGAGCACCTGAGGCAATATATATGTATATATATATATATATATACATATGCAATATTCAGAATAGACAGCTGTGCCACTGGCCCAAACCGTTCCAAGCCAGTTCCGAGCCGCAGGCTGCGGGACCGGTGCAACCGCCGGGCTGGTCACAACAAACGGACCTTAGCATGAGATCTGTGTTTGCCCATCCTGGCAGTATGTTGCGTGCTGTATTTTGCTCGAACTCTGCTTGCGTTCTGCTTCTCCGGCTTTGGGATGCCTACTAGCTCAGCTTCAGACAGGTATCGCTGCTGTTGACGGCGAAAAGGAACCGGGGTGGCAATGTAAGCCTGAAACCGGTGTGCACCCAGAGAATCACAAAGGTACTGAAGAGTCTTTGATTGAGTTATAGAGACTCGGGCGCATGAGCAAGGTATGCACTCATAAGACTTCAACAAAAAAACCTGCAAAATCGGACGACTGAACCATACATCGAAAACTAGAACGGCCCAACCGGAAACCAGAGCTGAATCGGAAACCAAAAATGAAAAATCGGAAACAAAGACTCACTTCTTAACAAGGTTTCTGGTTCGCACTTTGTGTGTCGTAGTACTGATTCCGCGGCGGTTTCTGACTCGCAGTTGCTGATTCGTAGTTTCTGATTCGAAGGCTGGCTTCTGATTTTGTGCGTCAGCAGCACGCCCAATGTTGCGCTTATCCCCTGCATGGCCTGATGCGATCACCAGCCCGTGCTGCAGTGCTGAACGCAACCTTGACTTGCACTTCCGCAGTGAATCCGGACCTGCAAATGGAGCGTGGCCACTCATTTTACAGGCAAAGGAGTGTGCCCTGAAAGGAGCCATAGGCTGGCCTTGGCTGCTCCGTGCTGAGGGGCAGAACCTACCAAGACTGCACATGTTCTACATACTCCATTCCTTTCGACATGAAACGTGGATTTCAGCTGTTCACCTGCAACAGGGGAAATGAAAAACTTTTGTGTCTCTTGGCAGCGGCTGCAAGCCAGGCACGGGAGGCACGTGGTACGAGCATCAGGTGGAATGCTGGCACGAATTACCGATTTGGGGAACTCACACTACTGTGGGCTGTTGAGACTTGCGTCGGACTTGTTGACCTTAAAACCATGCTCGGTTCGAGACCTGACTTTGGCGCTACCATCCCACTTGAGGCACTCAACTCGCGCACATGTCACACTGACGTGTTGCACTAAGATCAGCATGATGCCGCGCCTCAAAATACAGCAAGCCTCTCGTCAAGCTTGGTTCATCTACAAAAATGTCATCGCCGACTCCTGCCAAGCTACAGTAGACATTCAACACCCAATTCAACACCCAACCAGCACCATGCACTACTCGGGCTGTGTGCTGCAGAGGAGCGCGAGCTCCAACAAGTGTTGTCTCACTTTGGGACTCAGTTTTAATAGATGGAACGGATGCAGGACACGGCTGCCTGAAGGTGCCCCACTTCACCACTCCCTGCACCCCTGCACATCCCTTCGGGCCACCGCGTGTACAAGGCAGGGACTCATCTGTGCCCACATGCCGCACATGTATGGCTGTTATTCACCTTCAGTGAAGTCTTCATTTTGACAAGTGACAAGGAACCCCGGAAAAGTGTTTCATGACTTCTCACCATGCCTCGCCAAAAGCGAAAATTGTCTTTGGCTGACGTTTTTGTCTCAGAGGTCCTCCACCTATCAGCGTGGACGAGAGCTGGAACTGCGTTGGTGTGGAAGGAAGTTCTTGAGGTGTCAGGACATCCTTGGATCAATGGAGCTGGCCGCAAACTTCAAGCACGATGCAGCACGCTGGATTCCTGGAACAAACTGCTGAACTGAAAAAACTTGTCGGTGTAAGCGTCGGCTTCGAGCGTATATAGAGCTCCAGCGAGCATACCCTTGGGCACCTGACGCTCTACTGGCCAACAGCTGCAGGAAGATACTCGCAGGATTTGCAGACTCGCCTTGAACGTGATGTCCAAGGTGTCACCTCAGGCCACTTCCATGCGACCGGCCACTGAGGCACCTTCTTAGGTGACACGAGGTATCACCAAGTCCATTGCTGGAAGCCGTGCACCGCGACAGAGCTTGTGTAAAGGTCGCATCAGGCTGTGCCGAGTCCTGTCCTGCCATATGAGAAGGACTTGAATCGAGTGTCTAATATCACCATCTCGCACGCTTTCCAGGCCTACAAAGCGAATTCCACCACACTGCGTGCTGAAGCCGAAGTTATATGCCATCGGTGCTGAAATGCGAATCGCTTCGGCCTTTGAAGGACACATAGCAAGGGACACCGCTTCTAAGAACATCTGAAGGCTTCCTCTACCTGCAGCCCTTCATTCGTCTTTCAGCTGGGTAGCATCTACCGAAGGTCGGAAGATGATGCGAATAGCATTGCTCAGGGAGCTCCCAACCTGGCACAGTGCAACAAAAACATACAAAAACCCTCCATACCTTCCAATCGCGCTTCCTGAATCACAAGTTGAGGCCCTGACGGCTCCACCCAAGCGAGTGGAAGGGGAGGCCAGCATGATCTGCACATCCGCGAATGTCTGCACAGGGCTGGCTGCCACCTAAGCCAGATCGTGGCAGAGCCTTTGTCCGACTCCCGAAAGCTCGCAGCTTGCAAAGCTTACTTCCGGAACACTGCGCACCTGCGCCGATGAGACACCATCGACCTGTCTGCAAGCAAAGTTAGTGCAGCCCGCAAGAACGCACCGACTTCACATGACTTCACAAAACTTCCAACACAACTTGCACAGCACCAGCCTCCAGCGTCCACACGTTAAATTCTGGATTGATCAGAGGATTGAGAGCCTCGGCAACAAGAGCGTCTGCAAGCGCAAAGCTGGCCAAAGGCGCTGCAGACTCTGCGAAGCCTCCACACGCAGCACGTACGTATTGTTGCGAGGGAGTGCTGCCTGCACTTTGAGCAAATCACACCGCAACATCGCAATGTCACACTGACCGCCCCCCAGTGTCTAAAACTTAGTCTAAAACTATGCCAGTCAATACTTCGTATAAAAACCTTGGACCTTTGACCTTTACTGTGTTGGTTTCGGCCATGGCTTTAGACATTCCGCATGAGCAGTGCTGTTTCTTTCAAGAATCATGGCCTCCCAGGCAAGAACCGCAACATGATCACGCCCTTCACATGAAAGCCTTAGCGCAGCAGCAGCACTGACGTATATTGAAGTACGCAAGTTACATTCAACTCGATGAAACTTCACTGCACTGGCATTCTTCTCAGAAGCGGTTCTACAGCGATCGTCGAGCTCAAGCGATATGGACACTGCATGTATATCACGCAAAGAAGCTCAGACAGCCAGCCGACGCCGAGGACAACCAGATTCTCTACATTCTGCAAATGGTACAACGAAGCGTTACATCAGTCTCTCAAGGAGCCTAAATTGCCATCCTTCGTGTGTACGATCTGTGCTGAGCTACATGAAACCACGTTCCATTGTCTACCTACAGCTGGCAGATGCTGATGGCATCTGGCGGTCGGGTCTCAGCGCACCAAAAACTCAATGATGCGCGCTGCTTATCCTCGTGCCACGTTTCGCCCGCGAACTGTGGACATGCTGCCTTCCAGGCGGCCAATACGCATGCGCACTGACCTCAGAACCTTGCTCTGGCTCCAGCCTCGTCCACCGGCACCGAGACCCAGTGACACTCCAGCACCCGTGCCGCCACTTCTGATGATACCTTCCTCGGCTGTGGTCGCTCTTCCTGCTGATTCAGTCCAATGCGAATACGGGCATATTGCGTCTATGCCAGGCAGGAAACGCTCACCATTTGTCGTGCCTGTACCAGGGAAAGAACAAGAGTGAACTGCACTGGAGTGCACCAATGTGCACCCAAGTGAACTGTGCTAAACAAGATGCAAAAGGTTGAAAGCATGGCGGGTGTGCTCGACTCCGCTGGTCGCCGACGAGATGCAGCCGCTCCTGTGCTTCATCCAGCTCTGAATTAGCATGAAAAAGCGCACCAGAAACACAAACCCGTCACGCTGAGCATCTTGCCCCCTTGATCCCCCTTGCCCTTTCCGGAACACTGAGTATGTCAGAAACTGATGGCTGAATTGCTCCAGCTGTGCAAAAAGTAGCTGCAGAATGGTACATCATGAAGTGGGGGGAGGGGGGTGGGGGGGAGGGGGGGTTTGCTTATCCATAGCTTATCCTCCATTAAGCATGAGAAGCTGGAATTGCAGAGGATAAGCATAGGATAAGCAAAGGATTTGTACAGGATAAGACAAGTCCAGGATAAGCGTAGGATAAGCAAGTTATTCCTTTTGGAACTGATTGCCATTGGGCAGGCTGCAAAACAACTTTTATGAGCATGAGTGTTGTTCAAAGAGATGCTGTGAAATAGCCCACAAAGAGAGAACCGATAAGCAAAGAGATGCTCTGCAATAGCCCACAAGAGACAACCGACAAGCCTTCAAAGACGGGTCACACGTCAAGAGCCGTGCGCTGACTACATCAAAAGCAAAGGCCAATGTTTTGGGGTTTAGGGTCTCGGGTTTAGGGTCAAAAGGGTTTAGGGCAAAGGGTAAAGAAGCCGATAAGCACAGATGAGCCAGGAGAATCCCGCAGGATAAGGTCAGGATAAACCCAAGATAAGGGAGAATCCCCTTAGTGGGCAAGGATTTCAGGCATGAGCGCAGGATAAGCCCAGGATAAGCCCAGGATAAGCTCAGGATAAGGGAGAATCCCCTGAGCGGGCAGGGGCTTCAGGGATGAGCACAGGATAAGCCCAGGATAAGCCCAGGATAAGCCTAGGATAAGCCCAGGATAAGGGAGAATCCCCTAAGTGGGCAAGGATTTCTGGGATAAGCACAGGATAAGCCCAGGATAAGCCCAGGATAAGCCTAGGATAAGCCGAGGATAAGCCCAGGATAAGGGAGAATCCCCTATGTGGGCAAGGATTTCAGGGATAAGCACAGGATAAGCCCAGGATAAGCCCAGGATAAGCCTAGGATAAGCCCAGGATAAGCCCAGGATAAGGGAGAATCCCCTTAGTGGGCAAGGATTTCAGGGATAAGTGCAGGATAACCAGGATAAGCCTACGATAAGCCCAGGATAAGCCCAGGATAAGGGAGAATCCCGTTAGTGGGCAAGGATTTCAGGGGTGAACCCAGGGTAAGCCCAGGCTAAGACCAGGATGAGGGAGAACCCCCTTTTGAGCAAGGATTTTCAGGGGTGAGCCCAGTAAACAGGTTGTTGGGGCTTAAGGTCAAGTGTCTCGGGGTTTGCTGCTTGTAAGGGCTTAGGGCTGAGGGTTGAGCGTTTCGGGGAAACCCCGGAATGAAATCAGCGGCATAGTCTCATCCCTAAGCCTGAAACCCTAAACCATTTCGACGCATTCAACCTTCAACAGTTAAACCCTGAACTTTCCAAAGTGTAAACCCAGAACTCCTTTCAAGACTCATCGGTGTTCATTCGCAACTCCATTTTTCATCTTCCAAATGAGTTTTTTGTGTGTCTCAGATGTCCATATGGATTCACAATGGAGAGATTTCAGACCACAAAGTTCTCGTCGAAGCTTCATGGATTATACCAGGATTAGCTAAGGATTAACCAAGGATTTCCAAGTATGCCAAAAGTGATTAATGTAGCATAAGCTATGGATAAGCAAACCCCCCTCCCCCCCACCCCCCTCCCCCCACTTCATGAGTACAAGTGGGCCTGCATCTCCGAGTAGTCCTCGAAAGGGGGGAAGGCAAATCGCATGCAATGGCGAGTCAACGGTGTCCACATGTGCTGCGCCATCCGCATGTTCTTCGACCTGTGACCTATTCTGACCTGCTCCGGGCGGGGGAGGGGGGAGGCAGTTTGCGCCATTGTGCCGCTTGTGCCTTGGTTTCCACCACCTTGCAGCGGTAGTAAGCCTCGCAGCGATCCTGTCCAACTGGCGGCTCTGTCACCGTTGTTGGCTGAAAGAACATGCACCTTGTCGTACATTCGTACCATCAAGAAATCGGCAGCCATTGACCTTAGCTCCAGAATATGAAGAACCACTTCAGACATAACGTCTTCCTCGCCTGCGAACAAGCACAATATTTGCAGTGCCATGGCACGCAATCTGCACCAGGGCTAAACAGGAACCCAGTTGGATGACGATGGGCACCTTGCGAGGGATCTATCACATCGATCTCACATCGACCTTGCGTCCTCGACTTCAGACGAGGAGCCAAGCTGATCTGGCGGCCAATTCCAGAAGAGTCCACAATAAGACGCAAGCCGTACATGTAAACGGCATCCCTGACATCTGTGACAGACAACTGCTGCAGGCTTTGGCAGGCATGGACACCTGATTGCCTGGTTTCAACACCGCCCACAGTACGCTTCTTGCTACGCTTCTGCACAAAGCCGGTGCCATCATCAACCTCGAGGGGCGGATGCGGCAGAAATGGCTTTTTCTGAAGAGTCGCCTTGTGCAAGGTTTTTGCACAAGAACTGCCTTGATCTGCCTCCCTGTAGGTGGCTGACACGCTTCACACTCATCTTTGGCTCACAGCTGTTGCTCCAGCTGAAGTCGCAGCTCCAAAAGAAGTTCACCTCAGCACAACTGCTGGGCTGACCCTGGCTGTCACAGCAGCATGCAAACGGAAGCTGCTAGCCTTGCACAACTTGCGCACAAGCCACTGCAATGACGCAGCCGGTGTTTGCGACATCCTGAGGCGCATCACTGCTTCCAGACAGGCCATACGATGGGCATGTGCAACCACCAGTCCTCCAGCTTCAGTGGCGGGTCCGCAAGTTCGAGAAGTTGAAGGAGCGTGATGTGCTTGTGAAGGTCGCTGGAATCTGGCACAGGCATTTGTCGATGCAGCACCAGCTGAATATTCCAGATTACAGAAACGTGCAAAATATGCAGGTTTGTTGCACGCACCTGGAGAAGAGCCGGCAACATGAAATTTGGCACCCTCAGCAAGCAGATCAAGATACCAAGCTTCAAGACGCTCTGCATTTGCAAGCTCCAAATTGGCAGCCCCAACCGCCCGGTGTGGACATTTGTGCAGCTTGCCCTCCCTGCTAACAGGGATAGGGGCACTCTCCAAATCGATGAGTTCATGGGGTTTCGGAGGGCTCAGGAACAGGTTTAGCTACATGTAATTGTTAAGTGCCCGGCTATGTGCATGGCTATGCTGTGTGCATTGATGTAGTACCAACAACAGACGTCGAAATGTCGGCTTTGGCAATCCAGGCATTGCGGTAATTCGGCAGCAGGTTAGTCAGGTTTTGCAGTCTGGTCATGCAATCTAGCAACATCGTCAGGCTTCGCATCAGCACCCGACTGAGGGCCCGTCAATACTGGGAAAGCCAATCCCCGCCACGATCATGAGCACCGCTTCCCTTACCAAACCATGGTTAACACGGTGTTGTTGGTGCACAAGTGCACAACGCATAGCAATTCGAGCCAAAGCCACTCCAGACCCAGCATGTCCTGGCAAGAGTTACATGGCAATCAGCACATCTTGTTTCATGATGACCTTCGTGTTCCAATGTGTTCTATCATCTGCAGTTGCACCATGTTGTAATATCTTGTATGACATCTCTTCGCTCTCAATAGCCCTGGCCTCAACAACCACCCCGGCGGGAGGATTCGCGATGTTGTGATCTCCCAAGCTGGGGCACCAAGTTTTTACCTGCACGCGGAAGGCCGTTCCGGGAAGCTACCGCATCCTCCACTGGTTCTCTGGGTCGAAGACCAGAATGCAGCCCCTTGCTCCGCTCCGATGCTGTCAGGGGCTCTAGACCTGGTGCAAGTCAGCCAGCCTGGCAGTGGTTGTCAGAACCACATGTTCCGTGATCTCCTTAGTTTGGGAAGACTCTATACAGGTGTTTGGGCTCGTGTGGAATATGCGCAAGACCTGGCACACCTCTTTGCCCATGAGTGCCTTAAACCCGCAGTGACGCTGCATCCTGCTTAAGCTGCGATAACCAACTACCTGGAAAACTGGCTTTAAATTTGCTGGTTTTGCTGAGACACCACATGGGCATTGCTGCGGGGTGTCCCAGTCAACGCACGTGCCCAGCCTCAAAAACAACCGCTTCGGAGTTGAGGGTGCACGAAAGCTGCGTGCGTGTCTGGCGGCCATGTCGTTTTGCTGTCAAGGTGCGTCTGTCCCTGGCATCAGGGTGTTTCCCAACTTACGCAGTACCATGACACACTATCTTCATCTACCCTGCACACCAACCGTGAAAGCAGCAACACGTTGCAGCTACTTGCGAACACATGCCACGCAAACATGTCCACCTTGCTACAGTGCGTCAACATGCGACAAGCTCAGCACACCTTCATCGTGATTTTGCGGGTCATGACGAAGGCCCCAGAAGGCTCAATGACCGGATGTCTGAGGTCGATTGCATCGAAAGCCTCCAGGTGTTCCAGCACTGGCAGAGAGGAATCTGCCCGTGGCTGCCACCACGCAACACTGGGACTTTCTCGGTACATTTTTGGAGGCCTTTCCGTCCTTGCTGAAGCTTTTTGCTTCGAACTTGGTGATGACAGCACCGAAGCCCGGCTCCTGTGACAGCTGCGCTCGTCTCAGCACCCAAACCTCTGGGAAATGCTGTGTTTACCCCAAGCAACCTTTGACAACCTCGGCAACACTGCTCCTGGAATGTATGTCGGCCCTCGATATGAAACACGACGATTTGAATGTAGAGAACGACCTGACGCATCCGGCCAAAATACATCAACTTATGCAACGTGGCAATAAAAAAACTCTGCGAGATCCCCGACAGCAGAATCGGGACGCCCCCGACAGCACCAAAAAGTTGCAAAAGTTTTTGAAAAGTGAGATGTTGGCTTGCTGAGACAGAGGGTGTTGTGTCTACTGGGTGTGGGTTCCCTCCAGGTTGACATGGCTGGCTATACACACAGATGCAGAAACACACATACCCACGCACACACAGAGATCCAACAACACGCTCACATACACACACGCACACACACACACACACACAGAGAAATCCAAAAGCAAGGTAACATGCATTCTGGTGTGCCCTGCGTTTGTTGGCATGCATTGGGGCGTGCGCAAGCTCAAAAAGTGCAAAACAAAACTAGGTTTTAGACTACTTCGGGTTTTGGGAACCAGGAAGAAACAGCACAGATTCCTCCACGGGCGGGCGCATTTTATCGATGTTGAGTGTTTCGCCTAGGCGGGAGCCTTGTTTTGAAAGTCACGAAAACACAACAGTTGTGTACAGTACTTCAGGGTACTTCCTGGGGCTTGCATGTGTCGGGCCCCAAACCTCAAACGGCGCTTGGCTCCGGAGTCGTCCGGTAGCCCGTGCTGATGCTAAGTTGAAAGCGGGACTCGCACGTGTGTCTAACAGTCTAACACCTATAGTTAGCCATGGACAGCGGCTTGCCTTCGCGATTTTCATTATATGCTGCACCGCGCTTTTTGTTGTGCCCTTCCAGCCCCTGTTATGCTGAGGGCATTTTTCTTATGCTGAAGGTGTTTCTTGTGTCTGGGGGCCCCTGCATAACAACTTGCAGGGCTTAAGGAGCTCCCGGTCATAAGGACCTTTTCCTGAACCTATACCGCAGGTTTTAAGGTTTAGGGTAGGCTTGTCTTTGAGTTGCGTGTGTGTGTGTGTGTGGGTGTTTCAGGTAGGGATGTCTGTTGTCTTTGACGACGTCCCCAAAGCAAAAGCTTGATGCTTGTGCAATCGAGCCCGGCCTGTAAAATTTGGTTTGGCTTGGCTTGGTTTGGGTTTGGCTTTGTCATATAGTGGGGAGTTTGGTGCTGAGTGAAACCCTGCAGCCGACACATGGGTGCTACCAGGAATGGACGTTCCCAAGCCCCCCCCCCCGTCTTACCAAAAACCACTCACTAGACCATTTCGCACAAACTACAGATCGTCTACAGATTGTGTCAGCATCACGTGTGACACCGATAGCTTTAGAGCCTGGGAAGTTGGAAGTTTGGGTTCTTGCCGGGCTTTCGCTGTTCCAGGGCTTGCTGGGGAAGTAGCTAGGTTCGAAATACTGACATTCATTTTGCCATGTTAGCTTAAGCTGGGACTCTGGTTTGCAACGCAATTACTGTAAAGTAGGTGAGTGCAACCACTTAAATGTGGCGGGGAGTGTCCAACTTAACTTGGCTGCATAGAAAACAGTCCCTAGCGCTGACTGCAGCATCGCACAAGAAAGCTGCAGAGCCGCTGCAGATTCGGTACTCGGGTGAAGGGGTCTCAGCGTTTCTCCGGCTTAAGGCTTGCTGTCACTCTCAGGACATCAGGGATCGCCAATCAGTTGACAGCACCCGTAAGCGCGACGCCTTCAACCAAAGAGTCAGCATCTTCCCCAAGCAAGCTAGCTACTTCTGACACTTCACAAGCAATGTCATTGTCAATTCATTCTCGCCTGCCTGTGCCGACCACTCGCGCTTTACGTGTCTCTCGCCCCGTTTCGTCACATGCAGCGCTAAAGTCAAATGCTCATCCCCACCAAAATATGCAAAACAAAATACCCAAGTCATTATTGACACTATGAGTGCGTCGTTTTGCTGACATGGAGGGGGCGCGCTGTAGTTTTGCTGTCGTGGTGGGATGGCGTTCTTTTTGCTGTCGTGGCGGGAGCACGTTTTTGTTTTGCTGTCGTGGCGCCGGCTCACCACTCGCAGGCTTGCCGGATCTTGCCAGGGGCTTCCCGCGGTGGCGTAGGGCACGTCTGTTGTTTTGCTGTCGTGGCGACGGTGCGCTTGGGCATGTTTAGCTGTCTGGTCGCGGGGATGGGTTCGCACCTCGCTTACTGGGGCTTGCCGGGGGGCCCAACTGTGAGCGCCACCACAGCGAGAAGGACAAGACATGACAATACAGGCCAGGAAACAATCACGGGTTTCCATGGGTACATGCACGCGACGCAGAAACTGCTGGGTTGATGTGCAGTCAAGCAGCCAGGGTGACTATACCCCAGTACAGATATCCCAGATTTGCATCCTGGATTCGTACAACCTGGAGCAGGATTGCCGTGAAGCAATGGCTTGCATCCCCCAACCATGGCAATTTCACAGATGCAACTGCGAGTGGCTCTGTTGGTGTGGTAAGCACCTCATGCACATCACCATCAAAAAAACAAGCAGATTCTATCCGTTGCAAGACACTTCGGAAAAACTTGTGATAGGACGGACCCTCGCAATTCAGCGGAGTTACATATTTTGTTCCAGTCCCACGTAGTGCTCCTGCCCCACGATCATGCTTGTGTGAACGTGTTCACTGGGAAGCTGGGAAGCCCGTGAACTCGCCTATTCTGAGAAGGTCGAGGTCCATCGTCGTCCTGTCTGGTGCGAAATGAGATGCCACAGGAGTCTGCATATGCTCTCCTCATCCACTACGCGCTGCAACTCAGTGCCAGCCATGGCATCCAGCTGTCATTTCATGGTCTCATGATGCTGTGTCGCTGCGGCCCAATAAGTACTAGACCCTCGACACGAACCAAGACACTCATCCTGGAAACAAATTGCTGTCTTGGGTGAAAGGTCTGCGGTTTGTCTATGCATGCAACCTTGGACAAGTCGGACATGGCACTAAAGGTCCTTCTTTCCTTCTACGCGAGACCACAAGGCTACAATAAACCGGGCTATCCTTCTGAGCACAGACGTGCCATTGCAGACATAGAACAAGCGCTTCTACAACATCGGCAGCAGCACGACCCAGTGCAAGGAATGCGAGCGCTCGTGTACTGATCCTGTAGATCTACAGAATCTGCAGTAGGGCGCTTGCAAGTCGGGCAGCTGCGAATAGTTGCCCGACAAGGAAGCCTTGAGCACATCAAAGCTGAAATGGTTGAGTCCTTTGCAAACCGCCTCCCAAGGTCCTGGATGGCCATGGGTGGTCTTATCCGGTCCTATCGAGTCCTATCGGGTCCTATCTGGTCCTATCTGACACATGAAGTTCGGTCCGCATGTGCTGAGGGCATGACATCCAGCAGGAAGACGTAATACAGGTCAACGATCATTTGCGACAGGCAGTGCAGCTTCAGCTTCATCCCCTCAACAGACCGTGCGCACGAAGGCATTGCAGGACAAGTGGGTCTCACCAAATGTAGTGTCTTCTAGCACACATCCCTCCGGAAATACGAAACATTCCCTTCGGATATATATGAATATGAAAACCATTTTACCGCCCGAGTGCACAGCAGAACCTCGAGCTACACCAAACTAGGCAGAACTAATTTCGCTTCTGAAATAGGTACTGGAAGCCCAGTAAGCGTGGTGGAATGAGTGGATAGTACCAGTTTCTTACGCTTAGCACAGCTATCCGAGCGCAGGTGCCGCTTCTCGGGTTAGGCATGACTTTGATAGCAAATGGCTACGCAGTTTACTCATGTATAAAACATAAAGAGACAGAATCTCACTTAGCAATCGGTCGCAGGGTTCAGGCTTCACGGAAGCACTGCAAGAAACATGATATAAGTAGCCAAATTTGTGGGCTTTGAAGAATTTTGTCCGCAGCTGAACTTACACGAACTGAAATGCGTGGAACAACATCAGCATGGAACGACATCGAACGATGCCTCAGGGCCACGGAGGCGCGCCCTGCTGGGACCGCTGGGAAGAGCCAGGCTCCCAGGCAGCGTGAAGGCCAGGATGGTGGAGCTGTCCCTGCAGCAAGGCACTGATGCCTCTGCCATTTCTGTAAAAAGCATGAACCGTCAAAAAGAAAAAGTTATTTGATGCGGTGATCTGGCTTTGTGGACGCAGCCTGAGCGGACGCGGATCGAAGGACCAAGTGATCTCGGGAGGGAGGCGCTCGAAGTGCTGCAAAGGCTCCTGCTTGCAAAGGCAACATTCGGGGCAACACTGAGTTCGAGACAATCGGCCGAAATGAGTCGGGTTTCTGTGTAGGCTGTCATACTCCACTCCAACGTCAGTAGAGTCGGAAAATACAGTGATGGGAGGCCCGCGGCTGTCAGCCCTTTGCAAGATCCATTGAAGGATGTGTTTCCAAAAATGGCAAACCTACGCTCCTGAACAGCAAATCCTGGCACCACAGATGGAGTATCCACCTGACGGATTCAGAGTACATGTCTGCCTCCAGCATCCTCCAACAGTGAGTGTGCCCAAGCCTCTGTGGCATCTGGATAGCTCAACGGATCCTGATAGGTGCCGAACTTCCAAGAGCCTGCGGCTACAATGCACGATCACGCGTGGATGTCTGACGATGTCTGACGTCTAGCTTGACTGAGGCAACTGCCTGCCGCGACAGCATTGGGTGGATTGGTGCAGTGGAAAAAGAACGAGTACGTGCCAGCGAGGAGCGCCCTGAACACAAGCCAAGCAAAAATAATTTTGCAAGCAACCCGACACAAGGCTGATACATGTCACACATCCTGCAGGTTCAAGACATGAAAGAATTGGAGACGAGGCCTCGAGGACACAATGCGAAGAAGGAGTTCGCCCGAGAATAGGCTCTGCACGGAGCAAGTGTAGCCATCTGCGCAAGCAGGTCTGCGAAACTGAGTTACAGTGCATTATCGAACGGGCTTCGGCCGCTCAACTTCTGCTGACACGCTGCATCCACGTTCAAAAGGCTCCTGTGCCTTTTGGCTTGCTGGAGTCCGAGCCTACATACATACGTACACACACGGATGGACGGTGGCCAAAACTAGAAGACCTGGGCAGAATCGTCAAAAAACACAATGACAAGATTGATTCGCTTGGTGATCATCCTGGGCTTCGTCCGTGCTTGGGAGTTTTGGAGGGGAGGGGTCACCGAAAACTTTTTGAAGCTCTCCGAGGCAAAGTTTGTTCCTCTGTCGCCGTGGTGTTTGCTTGTTGTGGAAATTGCACCCTCTACTGCCACAACCACTCATCTCCAGGTGACTTTTGGAAACGACACTGGCAATAGCGTTTGAACACGATGGCCTGTTGTGCCAGGGCAGCTGCACTCCAATCGTCTTGTTGCCACGCCGCCCTGCAGGGATCACTCCCAAACAAGTGGGGCCATCTGACGCAATCAGTAGGGTCTCCTCTATCCCGGCATATAACGGCGGAGTATGCACGATGCTGACACACTAACAGCTCGCCTCCCTCTGCGACGACCCAGCAAGCAGACGGAACATGCCCGGAACAGTCTGCACTTCGCCGGCCAAACCGAATCAAACCCCATACCTTTTTTCAAGCGCAGTAGGAGTAGGATGCCTCGAAGATGAAACCGCCTCCGGCAAAAATCGGTGTTGTGATGGTCAGCTGAGCTCTAACCTCAGCACATCTACTCCCAGAGCATACTCGGAGCCTGCTTGCAAGCTCCCGGCAATCTACCTGCAACCATCCTGCAAGCATCCTGCAAGCATCCTGCAAGCATCCTGCAACCTTGACAGAAATTGGATCAAACTTAAAGGCTGACATTGTTCTTCGCGAGAACCCAATTCGACCTTTCGTGCACTTCATGCATGTCATCTCACTTTCACTAGAACCGCCCTTGGAGGCCTGGAAGCCCCTAATTCAAACTGTTGTAAGGCTGCGGGATTCGATTACCCAAAGACCCTGAGCATGTCCATTCATGTCCAAGAGACGCCGTGCCGCTCTCCAACTCGTCCCGTCACGTAGTCCACCCATGCCCCTCGTACCTGAGGCTCTGTTGCTCTTCCAGCTCTGCTGGAAGCACTAGAAACCTGATTCTGCTGATAAGTCACTGCACTCAGGGAAGGTCCTGGAAGCAAAGCCTGACTTCAGACAGTCTGGCATTGTTTGGCATTGTTTGGCATGAACCAGAAAACATGTCTACCACCCGCTCCCGCAGACAAGTCGCCACGACAGCGGCACCGATTATCGAACTCTGTGGCTATGCTGGGATTGTACTGCACCCAAAAGGCCAGCATAACCAGCTAGCACATGCGGTGCACCCAAAATGGGGGAATGAACCTCTGTGGCCAAAGAACTGCCAGCGGTCGCTGCCCAGCACTAGCAGTTTCGCTCCAGTTGCCGAGCTCGAGAAGGAAGTCGGCTCCTGCGAATGAATATAAGCAAAGACTGTAGGCTCAAGCAGTCATGATGTTGGCTGTACATAAAGGAGTTGCCCAGTAGGCCTGTTGTAGGCCATCGGGGCACGCGAACAGGCACCCGAAAGCCATAAATCTCGCCGCTGGCAAAAGCCAAAGGCCTACAGGCCGCAAACCTATGAGACATAAAGCCATGCATGGCGCTTTCTGTCGCTTGCTGCTACTTGCAGAGCTCTTGCATACAAGAAGCACAGTCCATGAAAGAAAGATGTCGTCGGAAACGACAGGTACTGCCTCAGCCGACATCCTTGCTGGATGTTCCAAGCTTCTAAAGACCTAAAGGGCTCGCCGAGGCTAGTGGTGAGAGAATGGTGGTTCTGTCACTTCTGTTTGCAAGAGAGGGCATAGCAAAGCCCGATCCAAGCCATGTTCTGCAGCATCAGGATTGGAAGTGGGCCAAGCAAGAAGTCCCAATTCGAAGTGAAGCTGCTGGCATTCCCAACAGCCAAGTATTGCACGTCGTTTGCAGCGTGGATGTCAAAACCCAAACAGCACGCGCAGACATGTTGCCAGAGCTTGAGCGAAACATGTGAGCAACTGCCAAAACCGGCTGGTGGTGCTAATGGACGCACATGAGGGGTGTCGCTTTCAAGTGTTCCCATCGTTTTACAGGGTTTAGCATTAGTCATCCACGTTTGATGTCTGCAGGTGTCGCTTTGGGAAAAATCAAGGCTATAGCACACCCAACGGCTCATGAACTTAGGGGTGTCGCTTTTCAAGTGTTCCCATCGCTTTACAGGGTTTTGGGCATTCGTGTCCACCCCTTACTTGATTGGCTGGTGGTTTTGGCGCTTGCTCACGTGTCCCCGCAGTGCTTCTGAGTTTGAGCTGTTGCTCCTTTAGTTTTTGAGTCCTTCTAGCCCTTCCACGCGCCGATCTGCTGTCGGAGGAATGCTTTTTTGACTGCTTCAACTTGTTGTGGATTCCCCTGAAAACTGTGAGCCGATCCATGCAGCCTTCGACGCCCCACCCACTACGTCCAAGGCCCAGCTCAGCGACGCGCCCACGCTTCGTCCACGGCCACCAAATCGCGCCACAGTCCACAACCAAGCACATACCAAGCACCCATGGCCATGACCCCGTCTGTGCCCGTCCCATGCGACAGTACTGAAGCATCATCACCATCACCACCATCAGCATCATCACCACCAGAAGACGAGCTTTTGAATCCTTTAACTTTTTTCATGCAGCTGAGGTTGACATGGGATCGTTGTGGATCATCGTGGATCATCGCGGATCCTGTTCAGCGTCGGCCGATCATTGCCCCGAGGGGGCCTCTTTGCATGCCAGATCCGGTGGCAATCCGAATGTCGACGTTATCGACCCCCTGAAGATGACAAGGAACAGGAATGACTGGAATGACACTATGAGGGACGAGAAAAGACCCAAGGCGGGTCCGAACTCAGCCAGTCCGAGTCTTACTCTTCGTGCATCCTTTCGCAAGTCCTGAAAAGCTTCCGGGCCATACTCTTCATGAAAACCAGAGCTTTGTGTCAAGCGGCCCCACCGGGCAGAGCGGCTGTGGATCCAAATGCGGCATCCTGCACGACGTCAGATGCATCTGCGTGCTTGTGAACGCACACCCATGAAGCTCACACTGGGCCACTGGGCTCCAACAGTGCCTGCCAGAATCCACTTGCCACCACTGCCGGCTCCCAGATCCAGCCCAGCGGAGCAGTCAGCCGCATAGGAACAGACAAGTCAAACCTCGATGACACGACAGCCGTGCAAAACGCAAAGCAACATCATCCAGCCCAACGATCTTGCAATCGTGCACGAATGGCTTGCGAACGTTTGCAGACCAGATGCGGAACTTGAATCGGAATAACTGTGACATAAGCCGTATTCAGCCTTGCTAGAGATCACAGCAAGATGCAGCCCATACCTCATGACATGTCATCAGGAGGCTCTGTCAGTGCTTAGCCAGGTGACGTTATGTAGAAAGGTAGAAGCTCTCCTCAAGCGGCCATTCGCCAGAACATTTGGACTGCATACACCGTTACCAAGAATGCTCACATCGAAGGTCCCGGCCCCATCTCAGAACTGGAGCAGGCAGCTCAGAAGAGGACAGGCCCCACATCTTACCTGAGAAATTCTGCACTTGCAGAACATACCAAGAGCAACAAAGCATCGGCTGCCTGGATCTCCATCGGCAGACGCGTCAAGCCATGCAGCACCTCCTGAACTCTCCTGACAACACACAGCGAAACACTAAGACTCTCGCTGACAACTCTTCTCAAGACCACAGGACAACCAACACATTTCACATGCCTCCACCACTAGGCTGCTGCTGTCTCGAGTCCTGACAACGATAGAAGCAGCAGTAAAGACGGTCAAACATGCTGCTGAAGTGCACCTCGTTGTCGGATTGTGGGCGCACGTGCATGTGCCACATCACTTTCAAATTCCGCAAATTTTTCGTATGGGAGCAACAAAGAATTCAATATCGGCAAGGAGTTGTCCTCACCATCCACAGCAGCTGATCCTGCAAGTAGCGACAACTCAAAGCCTCCTGACTCTCCCCAATGTAAGAACACAAAATGCACAAGCTCCTGTAGCAGCAGCGACGCAAAAAGTTTCAGTGATTTTCAGTGCCACTGCGACAGTGATAACACTAGGTCCTCCTGCGAGCTCTGGCTTGCCGGATTCTGCACCGTGATGCCGAAAGCATACGAGAGCCCCTTGCCAGTAGCATCACAAACAAATGTCACTTGCTCTGCCCTTCTCGGCCCTGCTCTGCACTCCAGCCTGCTGGATTGGGCGCCCAAGTGTGATTTGCACCTTTGAGAACACTCTCAAGCAGAGAAAACAAGAAAAAAGAACGACCAGTACTTGTGGTTTGCCCACGCTATTGCTGTAGAGACACATAGCGACATGCGAAAACGTCGCCCAACCCGAGGGTTCAGGCACGCAGCTTCATGACTCGAACTCCGGAGTTGGCGACGCGAGTCTGCGTATACGCGATATGTGCCCGCGCGCTAGGATCACAAAAACCCTAAACCCTAAAACCCTAAACCCTAAACCCTCAAAAACTACAACCCCTAAACCCTAAACCCCCTAAACCCTAAAACCTACAACTTCTAAAACCTTAACCCTACACCCTAACACCTACAACCCCTAAACCCCAAACCCTAAAACCCTTAAACCCTCAACCCTCAACCCTCAACCCACCGGATCACAAAAACCCTACACCCCAAACCCTGAGACCCTAAACCCTCAACCCTAAACCTCCATTTTTAACCCCAAACCCTGGGCAGACCATACGTGCAACCAATGAGTGTGGGCAAACCATACGTGCTGTGGGTAAGAAAAGTAGGTGGTCAGATATGCAGAGCCTCCTGCATTCACATCAACGTCCAACACTTCTCAAAACTCCCGCGCTCCATCAAGGACTGCTCTAAGGCTCCAAGGGGGCCACTCTTGGCGGTGAAGCGAACGAAGTGCATCCCTGCAGAATCGCCCAGGCAGGATCTTGCGGCATCATCAAGCTCCGACTCCTGAACTCTCAAGACTGCAGCGGCCCCCTTTTTGGCAACATACCACGCGCTTCGGACCAGTCAACCTGAGAGGCAAGCAATCCGAGACCCTCTGTGCGCAAGACGAAACGGTGAGTGCAAAAACTTGGCCACGTCATGCCACGCCACTTCTCTTTTGGTAGGTGTTCTGGACCTGGGGTTTGGCCACACTCGGCTTGACCTGAGCCATTGTGCTGCTCAAGGGCTTTGGCAACCGAACGACTTGTGCTGAGTTCGGATCCCGAATGAACTCGCAAGCAGCTTGCAGTTGCCTCACTTGCGGGAAGTTTGGCCACTGTGACAGTAGCCCATGCTCGTGAATGTTAAGTTTGGTACTTGAGTTCTCGCGCAATGTCATCCCCAGATCTGCCTCCATCATTCACCTACGCGCTGGCTTCACAAGGTGCTCTGGATGCTGGGCCACTTTATGCACAAACAATGTCATACCTCTGCATCGGACATGATGTGGTAGCACAGTGTCGCTGTCGTTGAACATTTAAAGCGTAGTGTTCAAGAACACATTGCCACCGTCACCACGCACACACGCATCGTATTGATCACGCGTGTTGAAGTACGCAAATCCGGGGTTAATGAAAAGTCAGCTTTCGAGCACGTCCCTCTCGCACGAGGGGCAGATATCATAGCGCATGCTACAAGTTCACCATCATTCTTACACTTTTGATCAAATTGCCATCGTAATTTTTGAAACATCATATCATATGTGCGTCATTTGAGGTTCTGCTTTCTGTGACAGCATCTGGTGTCAGAGTTGCCGCCGGGATCCTTCCGCTACTACGACGCATGCTGCACTGTTGCACACCCTCGCAAAGATGAAGACAGATGCAACTGCCAGGTTGAACATGAAGTTTTTGTCCTGAAAGCGTATGGCTTTTGGTTGAAAATGGCGTTTTGTCTTAAAGTGTACGGTTTGTGGTTGAACACGCAGTTTGCTTTCCTCAAAGTGTGTGGTTTTGAAGTTGAAAATGTATGTTTTACAACAACCGATGGTCTTGGCAGAAATAAAAGCTTTACACTCCTTTCGAAATTGATTGTGTTTTGGACAGAAATCTATACAACTTTGCCAACAGGCTACACAAGGCTACCCTCTAGGCACTTGCCAACAAGCTATATAAGGCTAGGTGGCTACGCTCTCGGTACTTCAGCCTGCACGGGCCTGTGGGAATCCACTACCTTCTGGGCACGTCTAGGACCTTCAAGCTTGAAGGGCCTTGCTTTCGGCTGTTTGGCAAACGAACTTACGCTACAAGGTTTACACTCAAAAGAATAATCTTTTACACAAAAAATTGCAGTAGAAATCATTTGCACGTCGTTTCAAGTGTACTTTACACAAACGTGTAAATTTACATGAAAATGATCTTTCGGGCAGGCGTCGGCACATCTGCGTCTGACCACTGATGGCAAGGGCGCATCGCGTTGCAGGTAGTCTGCATATGTCGTGCGATACTCCAGATCTTGACAGCGTAGTGTTCAAGAGCACATTGCCACCGTCACCACGCCGATCTCGCTTCCCCACACACTTGAAGTACGCACTTCCGGGTTAATGAAAAAGTCAGCTTTCGAGCACATCGCTCTTGTCCGTGGAGGGGCAGATATCATAGCGTATGCTACAAATTCATGTTCCAGAAAAAATACCAATTTTTACAAATATAGTCAAATTAGAATAGTTATTTTTGAGAGAAACATGATTTTATTTGTGTATCATAACATACACACCTGACTCCAATTTGCATGTATCCAGTACCTGCACCAGCTCGTCACCCTCAACCGCAGCAATGCGTGGGTTCTCATTGTTCCAAATGGCGAAAGGGCTTCCGGGGGCAGCCTCAGCTTTCTCAGAATGCACCTCCCGGGGCTCGTAGGCTCGTCGTTTGAGGTTCGAGCAACCACTTTGTGCAGAACACGGCGGCCAGTCTGCTTCAGGACCTCTGAAAAACTGTTAAAGACTCTCGACTGGATGGCTTTCAAACTGGGCGCAGGACGTCTGGATCCCAAAAGAAGCCCCACTTCTCGTCCTCATGTGAGCGAGACCTGACTATCTATCACGTGAGCTCAGGGACATCACGGCATCACGAGCAACATCTGGGCATCCAGCAGCCTCACCAGGAAAGTGGTGCCCTGAGGTCCACTTCTCAGCCGCTTTGCCGGTGGATCCAGACCAACACCGACAGAGTCTTTAGCTTTGGTCAGCTCGCGAAACTTGCGAATGACTGTCTGCGCCTTGCGACACGCGTGGATTTTGTCAAGAGCAGATAAAGAAGAACTACTGAGGATTCAAGAACACAGAACATCAAACAAATCATTTCTGCTCGGATCTGCTCATTCTGCTCTACTGCAGTGATCCCCAGCCTTCTTGCGGCAAATCTCTGCCGTGTCACCCACTTGGTAGAGGGCCGTGCCAAGACCGAAGCCGCTTGCACCGGCCTGGCCACTTAATTGGCGCTTTCGTTCTGCATTGCACGCATTTGCACGCTTGCCTCCAGGTACGCCGCCATGTTTCCCGTGGACACACCTCCTTTAAACAAACCGGAAACGAAACAGCCGCTCAGCGAATGTAAGCGACCCCCACAAAGAGCCTAACTCTTACTGGCCATTCACCAAGTTGCCAACAGGCATGAGGCATGTCGTCTTCGGCAGCACTGCTCTCCAGGCCCGGATTATGTTTGGCGGCAGCTGCTCGCCGGGAAAGGCCTTGGAACATTCGAGCTTGGCGGCAGATACTCCGGCCGATGGCGGCAGCTTCAGGACAGGACTCTTAGAATTCCTATGAATTCCTAGAACTCTTAGATTCGAAAGCGCCTTCAGTGCATCTGCACCAGCCCTCAGCGCGGCAAATGCCTCTGTGGGCGTGCACACGCCCGGGAAGCTGATGAGACCAAGCTCCTGCACAGGCAACTCCGTTTTGTATCCCGTGTCCATAACCATGCTATGGTTGTCACTCCGCTAGGAGGAACTGGCATCCCAACTCCTTCGTCCTTCGGATCACGAGCTCGTCCATGTTGGGACTGACGATGAGCTTGCCACCCACTGCGTGGACTTCATCAACCTACGGCATACAGTGCGCAAGGTTCATTCCTGCTTCCTCAAGTGTCGAGATACCTCTAGGCTGAGCAAAGAAGCCCACCTCGCTGGCACTCAAGACGGTGCCCGCGCCCACGATGGTATCGGGTAGTTGCTCAACCAGCAAGGCAATGCTTTCCAAAGCCTGTGGTGACAAAAGAACTCAAACATCGAAAAGATTCCCGGCAAACCACGGCAAGTAAATGCCCTCTTACGCTCACAGGAAAATTGCATTGAATCTGTTGAACCCAGAGCTAGACCTAAAAAGCACAGAGGTCTGTCCTGCGGCGAGTTCAAAGGAACCTCCAGGATCGTCCTGAAACACTGGGAATCGCAGTCAGAAAGTCTAGGCACATGCGTGCACATGTTTTACAGAAGCGCTATAAAGGGCGACCGAAGGCGGCCAAGGGTCAAGCCACTCTCTGCCAAGGCTTTTCCGATCTGCCCCGCTTCTGATGGTTTAGTGCCACGCAAGATCGCCACGAGCGGGCACAAACCCAGCGCCGCTGCCCAGCACGCCTCTCAAGGGCGGCGACAAGCGGTTCGTACATTTTGTACGGGCGACTATCGAGGTGACTTCGCAAGCTCTCGAATCCACGCTGGGCATGCCTGCGCGTCCATGCCCCATGCCGTGGACATGATAAGACATGTACGTTCTAGTTGTATGTCCAGACATTACACCATTAGATTCGCTGATTGATGGTTAAACAATGTTGAACATACATGCCTACAAAATTGCACATATACATATATATATATATAAGTATATGAATACATCTATGTATATATATATATATGCTGATATGCTCATTTGCGCATTTCCTTGCTGGTCATAGTCTTGGGGTCCAGAAGCTGCTTAGCTGCCACATGAGGGCCCTGTAGCCGCGTCTCATCAGCACACAAAAAGATTGCACATCATTGTGCTACGATCACGGCTTGAACCAACGACAATCAACTCTTGCCGCATCTTCTGATGTGCCCATGGACAAGGATTCCACGTCAGCCTGGACGACACCAAATCTCTCAATGACAACAGACTCCGGAGTGTCACCATTCCTTTCAAGAGCACAATTCTAAAAAAAAAAACATGTTTAGATGCTTCAATGATATCCAATCAGTCCTGTAGATAGTCTCTGGCAGTTCCTGGGCAGCGCAGCTGGAGCTGAAGCTAAAGCCGGGCGGCGCCTCTTGCCAGGGCCAAGCAAAGCATGCTCATAGCTTTTCATGGTGAACAAAGCTGCGAAATTGCAGCTTTGTAGGCCTCGACCTCGACTGTTGCCTCACTAACTGTCTGTCCCACCGTGAGGAACCTCAGCTTGCATGCAAGGGCTCCGAACCTCCAATCTCAGAAAAACGCAAGGACAAGTGTTAAAAGGTGCTGCAGTTCTGTTGCGAATCAAGCTGAGAAGCACTTGCAGCAAGTGGGCCTCGCCGACAACCACACTTCCAGGTAAAACCTCCCAGCACTGAGGTGTTGCAAGGGTTGCAAGGAAGACTGAGCGAAAAACTGAAAGCCATGGAAAGCAACCAGCCTGCGCAAAAGGCAGGGTTCCCGCTGTGCTGAGGGATCGTTGCAGCTCTTGCGCAACCACCTTCTAGCAGAATCAGAAAGAGCATCGAGGAGACCCAAAGTGCATCCCAGAACATCCCATGAATATCATACTAACGTAGACCCCAATCCAAAAGCGCTTCAGAAGTCCAAAGGCAACGATTGTTTTGCGTTTTGCGAACGCAGGCGCCCGCTTCCGAAAGCGACGACAGCTTCGGATGTCGCGATCCCTAGCTTGTCACTAGGTCCCTCATCTTCATGCGGTTTGGGCCGGCAGAGGCCAGACACACCGGCAAAGTCAAGGCAGAAAGAGGATGATAGCCAATTTAGTAAACCCTACAAGCCAAGATTCCAGCTTGAATCGTGCACGCAGGCCCTGTGGGAGCTGTGCCCCGACCTTGTCCTCGCAATGCAACTTCGCAATGCGTCTTCACCAAATTCGGAGTCGCAATGTCGTTCGGCTTCGCAGTGCGTCTTCGCCTCCGAACGCGGCTTCGCAATGAATCTTCTCCTTCGAATGCATCTTCGCCACCCCCTAGCGGCTTCTCCCTTTAAGCACTAGCGCAGCTTTGCAAAGCGTCTTCAGCTTCAGGTCGCTTCACACCCTCGTTCCTGCAACCGCAATGCATACATATGCATGCATATATGTGCATATATATATATATATATGTGCTCGATTTATCACATGTTACAATGACCAACATCCACTACATCCCCTACATCCCACCCACGTATCTTGCACGGTGCTTAGAAAGTGTGCATCCAACGGTTCTCGCAGCGACCCTACAATGACCAGTGTACGGAAGAATGAGGCCACGACATGTGCACAAATGAGCGTTAGAGTCAGCAGTCGAAGCATGGCAAGTGCCCAAAAAGGCAGGTCAACATCTTAACTTTTGGCAAGTGCTAAATACGTCAATCAGTCTCAGTGCGCTAACGTGAACCACATTCACACATGCTTTGTCTTGACAACGGAGAAAAACCTCCACTACTCATCAAGCATACACTTGTGTCAGCTGAAAAGATACAGCTGACAAGATGCAGCGTTGTACCACCACAACCGTGCGTGGCCATGTTGTCTACAACTACTTTGAACAAGTTGGCACTGACGAGCCAAACACGCAGCAGCATCATGACTCACACCCATGCACTCCCATAGGAATGCTTAATGAACTCGACCGGTCTGTGACTAGGAAAGCAGGTGCGCAGTGAGGCAGGTCGCTTTGCCTGCCTGCACATACACGCATGCTAAAGTGCTCTCAAGAAGCCTGATGCATTGGGGGCATGTTCTTTATCTTTCTTGGACGACTGGAGCTGGAGGCTGGTTGTCGCTTTGTCCTCTTCCGGCTCCTGACAAGGCTGAGATCGAGTTGAAGCAGAAGTGTTTTTTGTGAAGCAGCTCAAGAAGGAGCATTTCCACACTCTGACCCATGACATGTCTGCCCAAACATGACATGCGAGCAGCCGCTGCCTTGGGGTGTTTTCAAGCAGCCACCAGCCGAACAAGGAGTAGCGAGAATGCGGTCCATGTACAGCTTCCACGCTATGGAGACGAGGAACTTCAAAAACCACCAGCGTGTTAAACTCGGGCACATGCTGCACAGGCAAGCCTCACGGAGTGTGCTCTTGGGGTTTGGATGATTTTGGACGTGCCTCCCACTTCGATATGAATGGATGGCAAAGATGGTTGCCCATCCCATTGAAAACTACAAAATGACAAAAAACAAAGTTCCTTCAAAAGTTGCCTTACATCCGTGCTCCCACATTTTGCCCCCCTCCCAGGACTACTCTCACAAGGTCTCATGTGTTGAGAACATGCCAAGCCTGCAGCATAATTTCTTGAGTGGTCTGTTCTCGTTGATGCTCAAGTATACAAGCGATGCGGAGAGATCTCTCTCAAAAAAACATAAGAAGAACTTTGACGTAAACTTGACTGGTGCCACAGCCTCCCGCAATCCAGTACATATCTCTCGCCAATCTTTGCGTCATCGATATAGAAACTGCTTGAGAAATCCCAATTGAAAACCGAACAGAATCCCGATGAGAAACCCTGATGTCCGATAGAATCCCGAAATCAAACTTGGTAATCTGTTCGACAACGTTGCCGTAAAGTCAACTTTTGTCACCAGTACCAATCAAGGTGCATCCCATCGAAAGCAAAGTAGCCATACGTAGACATTTGGCAGAGTTCTGTATCTATTCGTTTGGTTTCTATAGTTTGTGATTTTCTGCGTTCTGTGGTTGATGCTTAGTTTTACATTGTCACACAAATTCCCCAGCGTCAATTCTCTAATTGTGTAGACTGTATCGGTGTTTTCGATATTTGTCTGTTTTACTCGGTCTTCGTCTCTGTGTCTCTAGGTCTCCATTTCTCGGCTGCTCTACTTCTCTACCTCTCCTCGACTTCTCTACCTCTCAACTTCTCGGTTTATCTATTGCAGTGTTTGCACTTTTATCCTTTCTTGTGTTGGTTGCTGCTAGCCTTCTTGACGGTATGACAATCAACATGCATGCGCTGACTTGCAGCAGTATCATGTTGATCCAAGATCACAGAGATCTAGAAGCTAAGCTTCAGGATTCCGCCACCCCCCCCCCCGGCCGATTCAAGATCCAAGATCTTGATTCTTTTGTCCTTTCCGGGGTGGGGGAGGCGGGGGCCAAGGAGTGGGGTGGCGGGCTAGGAAATCGATTTCTACGTCCCTTCAACCAAGCATCTCGGGTTCGCTAGGTCCGTGAAGTTCCCGCCGAAGGATGGCTGCCAGCCCTTCAAAGCACAAAGTGGCACGTGGAGATGCGTGGCGAACTGAACTGGCAGATGCAACAGGATCAAAAACATGATGTGCATCACGTGCAGTGGAAACCCGATCCTTGTTCAGATAGTATGCGGCCGCCACCCATCGTCGATATGGCAACTGCTCCGATGCTTCGCCTTGCGCTGCCACGGCTTGCCGCACCGCCGCCAAGTCCCCAGCCTCTAAGGCATCCTGCCAGTTCCAAACAATCTGAAGATAAAAACCTGATAGAAGCCACGAACCCGAATTGCGGAGACACGAGTCACGCTCTCCACTTGGAGCGCCACGCACCACATGACTCGCGGAAGTTACAATGACAATGCGCTTGCTTCCTTCCTTGCTTCCTTCCTTCCTTCCTTCCTCCCTCCCTCCCTTCCTTCCTTCCTTCCTTGGGTTAGTTCGGGCATGTGAAGGCAAAAGCCGCCTTGTAGGAGAGATTGCAAGGGCCGAAGTCAGTCTGCAAAGGGGTACTTGTTACCGTGGCTGGGGCTTCTGGATCTGCTGTTAACGAGGCGGATGAACCGGCGTTGCATCTCTGCACACTTCAGTTTGGAAGATCACCTTAAGTCGCGGTTACAGGAACAACAACATGCCGATACAGTTGTCTTGCCAGAGATTCGCTTGGCAAGGAGGACAGTTGCTTCGAGGTAGGCGGCTGGATGCGGCTGGAACATTTGTAAACGGTGTGGATCCTGGAAACAGATTCTCTGGAGGCACCATCTGCACATCCAAGAGGCTTGATTGCGCCTAGCGGTCAGCTGCGGTATGCCACTAGAGCCCCTGGACGAGTGGTACATGTCAGGCTACTAGATCTACTAGGTCCTGGCCATCATGTGGACATAGTTGGCTTCTACCGTGGGCTTGGAAAACACAAAACGCCGACAAACAAAGCATCGTAGACATGATGTCTGGACGGCTACGTTTCGTCCATTGCCACAGCTGCCGAAACGAAACATTCCGCTGTTGGGGTGTGATGGTAAGCACGCCTGCTACTCTTTCAATGGCTGCGTTGGTGACGGGGTACCCTTTGTAGCTGCCAGGCGGTGCGGGAGTCTTGCTTTTGCCAACAGACGTTGCACCTTGGGACCTTGGGTGTAAGCATGAGCCTGTGTTTTCATTGTTTGACAAAGCTGCCCTGGAGAAGTCGCTGCGCGGGCTTGATGGCAATGCAGCAGCACTCCGAACACTTGTCTCGGACTGCTTGCGAAAGAGCATTCCGGCGGAGGATATACTGACCAGGATTCATGCGACCTCTGACGGCACATCACGAGTCTCCGATCCTGGTCGTACTTTTGAGCATTGGGTTGCGTGGTGACGTAAGCATGATGGCGCACGGCAGCATGAATTGACCGACCGTGCAGCGCTCAAGCTGGTCGGAGAAAGGCCCAAGAGCCTGGATCGTGATGAGGCCTTTGGAGGTGTGGGCAGCGTACCACATTGCACAACATGATTTATCGCAAACTTCTTGATGTATGCTATCTCAAAAGCCAGCTAGCTGCATCCGCTGGACGCCTATTCTCCCTGGCTGGTCCAAAGCTTGATCGGCAACAGGATGCAATCGAGTTTGTCGCTCTTTTTGTACAGAAGTCACAACTCATGTAGAGGTCAATGCGAAGCACGAGCTTTTGATATGAACTGCTAAGGAGCATGGATATGGGACGCATTCATACACCAGTGTCTCTTTGCTTACAAGCGAAGATTTGCAGAGCATCTTGGAATGGGAGATGCAAGATTCAATACATTCTATGAAGTACATGGTGGTGTTGTTGCGTTAGCTCCAGCGTTATTCGCAAAGACCTGAAGCCACAGTGAAGAATATGCAGCCACTTTCGATTGTTCCAGGACAGGGTGCGGGTCGTCTTTTCTTCGCACCGGATGCTTTCTTTTTAACTCTCTCTCTCCCTCTCTCCCTCTCTCGCTCGCTTCTTATTTTATTCTGCTTCTTTCTTCTGCTGCACGCACGGTCACCCGAGACACTTCAAAGATCCCAAAGGAAGGTATGACCCTCTCTTTTTCGGACTCGCTCTCCCTCCACATTGATGTGATGCTTGTCAAATTTGCTTCTGATGCTACCCATGGTCCTTCGCTGCTCATCAAACCTTCATTTTGAACCCCTTTCCACTGGCCTCCAGCTGCGAGGCACGCTGCTTCTCAGAAGCTTTCCAGGCTTTCCACGTTTCCACGGCAGTATTTAACTTGCAGCTTCCAAAGGCCTGCCGTACCTGCAAAGAGGCACTTAGTCTCACCTACAGGGAGAAGTTTATTGGTTTTTGCATGATTTTTGCCAGATTTTGCCTGGTTGACTTCCTCTGCAGTGTAGGCTTCGGGCACAAGATCATCATGTGCGGCAATATGATCCTCACCTTCATAGCGAGCAGCCGAGAAGTTCGGCAGAGTGTCTGGAAGAAGCCTCGCAAGGTTTCTCCTTCATGACTAATTTTGCGACTACACATGACTAACTTAGCAACACACTTTTGCAGTCACAAGACATCTTCTGAGGGCTGCCAACAGTAGAAACATGCCGTGCATTCCGCCGTGGAGGAAGGCTTCCTTTTTAGTGCTAATGATCTGTGTTTGAATGGGAACTTACAGCATTCCCAGACTTCCATCGCGACAAATTGGCTTTCAAGGGGACTTAGTTGCCGAAAGTATTGCTGTTTACAAGGGAGATGTTTCTGGGAAGGCGTTTTCAAACAAAGGCGTGTTTTGGATTTCACCCTCTGTTTGCCCTGCAATCAATACCTTGCAAATACCAAGCAGGAGAGATTCAAAAACACAAAGAGATAGAGAAAAAGATAGAAAGAGAGAGAAAGAGAAACAGAAAGAGCGGATCTCGTGTTCGCGAACGCGTGTCTGCACCCTCTATCAGCTGGATTTTGGGGTGTGGACTCACGGCTCTGGCATAGACCCCTATGCGGGCGACAGACCCCTATCCCTATCAGATAGGTCGCTATGCCTAAAACCCCTAAGCCCTAACCCCTATACCCTAAACCCTAAAGACCCCTAAACCATCCTAAACCCTAAAACAAACTAAACCCTAAAAACCCGTACGCCCTAAACCCAAGAAGCCCCCAAACCATAAACCCTTGTCCCTAAAAAACCTAAACCCTAAACCCTACAACCCCTGAACCCTAAACGCTAGACACCCCTAAACCCTAAAAACCACTGAGCCCTAAACCCAAAGTAAAAGTCCCTGCACCCTAAACCCTAAAAATCCCAAAACACGAAACCCGTGTAGCTGAAAACACCCTGACCCTAACCCCTAAAAACCCCTCAACCCTAAACCCGGGAAAGAATATTTAAAAAAAAAAACTCAACCCTAAAATGCCCTAAACCCTAAAACCCCCTGAGCCCTAAACCTTAAAAATCCCCAAACCCTAAACCCTCAACCAAAAAAAAAACCTAAACCCTAAGCCGTAAAACCCCTAAACCCTAGACCCGAAAAAACCCTAAACCCTAAATCCTAAAATCCCACGCCCTGAACTCTAAAGAAAAGCTTTAACCCTAAACCCTAAATCCTAAAAAACCCTCGACCCTAAACCCTAACAACCCCTCTAAACCATAAACCCTAAACCCCAAAAAACCCTAAGCCTGGGCCTAAGCCCTGAAAAACCCGAATCCCTAAACCCAAAAAGGAACCCACCATAAAAGATCCCTAAACCCTAAACCTGAAAAATAACTGAGCCCTAAACACAAAACATATACATAACCCCTAAAAAAACCCCAAGCCCTAAACCCTTAGAAAACTCTAAACCCTAGGAAACCCTACACCCTAAACCCTCAAAACCCCTGAACCCTAAAGACCCTGCTCCAAACCCTAAACCTAAAAATCCCTAAGCCCTAAACCCTAAAATACCCTAAACCCTAAAGACCCCTAAACCATCCTAAACCCTAAAACAAACTAAACCCTAAAAACCCGTACGCCCTAAACCCAAAAAGCCCCCAAACCATAAACCCTTGTCCCTAAAAAACCTAGACCCTAAACCCTACAAACCCCTGAACCCAAAACCCTAGAAACCCCTAAACCCTAAAACCACTGAGCCCTAAACCCAAAGTAAAAATCCCTGCACCCTAAACCCTAAAAATCCAAAAACCCGAAACCCGTGTCCAACCCTAACCCCAAAAACCCCTCAACCCTAAACCAAAATACCCTAAAACTCCCTAAGCGTAAACCTTCAAAATTTCCAAACCCTAAACCCTAAAAGCCCCAAACCCTAAACCCTAAAAAAAACCCTAAACCCTAAGCCTAAGCCGTAAAGCCCCTAAACCTTAGACCCTAAAAACCCTAGACCCTAAACCCTAAAATCCCAAGCCCTGAACTCTAAAATAGACCTTAACCCTAAACCCTAAACCCTAAAAAACCCTCGACCCTAAACCCTAGCAACCCCTCTGAACCATGAACCCTAAACCCCAAAAAAACCCTAAGCCTGAGCCTAAGCCCTAAAAAACCCTTAATCCCTAAACCCTAAAAGGAACACACCATAAAGGATCCCTAAACCCTAAACTTGAAAAAAAAAAAAACCTGAGCCCTAAACCCAGAAAAAACACTAAACCCTAAAAACCCCTGAGCCCTAAACCCAAAAACCCCTGGACCCAAAAAACCCTTCAACTTCAAACCCCGAAATCCCTAAACCACAACCCCTAGCCCGAAACCCTAATAAATCCAAAACCCTAAAGTACTCAAACCCTAAAGACCCCTAAACCCTAAGCCCTAAACCCAAAAGACCCCTAAGCCCTCGGACACGGTCTATTTTCAGTGCAACAGGGGCCTATTGAAAATGCATAGGGGCCTATGCGGCATAGGGGGGTAGTATAGGTAGGGATAGGGTCTATAAGTGGTCTATACATAGGGGTCTATGGCAAAAGGGAAGACCCCTGAGCATAGGGATCTATAGGAAAGAAGACAGGGCCTATGCATAGGGGTCTATTGACGCTTGATGCCTCTCATAGACGGCTACTTGGCAGACCTATCTTCCCCCCCAACCCCATCTCCCTCCCAAAAATCCCGAAACGTCCTTCTAACACACGGCGGAGTGCACACTCTGCATGCCTCTGCGTGCCATTGTGTGCACCTGCATGTGCCGGCTGCCTGCATGTGCCTGAGCGTGCCTGCGTGTCCTCGTTTCTTTTATCTGCGAATTTGCGTGTGTCTGCATGTCTGCGAGTTTGCCTGTGTCTGCCTGTCTGCCTGTCTGTGTGTTTGCCTGTCTGTGTGTCTCATGTCTGGGTGTCTGGGTGTCTGGGTGGCTCTGTGTCTTTGCGTCTCTGCATGTCTGTGTGTCTTTGTCTGTGTGTCGGCGTCTCCGGGCCTCTGTGTCTCTGTGTGTGCCTGTGTGCGTGTGTGCCCGTGTGCGCGACTGATCATGTTAACGGCCTTGCCAGCACCCGTGATGCGCCGAGCAGAATCTCGTCTCCTTCTACATCCGCTACCCAGAAGCGGTGCCGTACGCGATCTGCATAGTCCTCAAATGGTCTGAATCCCACAGATTGCCGAGTCACGACACGACATGACAAACAAATAACAAAGGACAGGCAAAGACGCAAAGACTCGCCAACATATTGAGGTGTATTTCCGTATTCTCCAACTTCTTCGAAGCGACCAGGTCGTCACAGCCGCCTTCTCCAGCTCGTTCCCAGCCATGCAGATCGTGCAAAGATTCGCAAACGGCCTCTGCCACATGCTCTGGCAGGAAACCAGGGATTTTGGCCTTAGTCGTGAAATTTGCAACTCTCCCAGACTTGCGACAAGGGGCAGACGTGGCTGGACTAGACAACGATGACAGACAACAATGTGTCATTGTGGTCGAGGCGCGAAGCCGCCACCAGACTTCAGAAGCTCAGGCAAATTTCGTTCGGCGCAGGTCACCCACGACGAGACGGCAGCATCATCATCCAGCCAACGCCGAGCTGCCTCCATGCCATCACCTGGCATCCTGACTCCCAAGTACGGGCCTTGTACACTCTGCATCTACATATATATATATATATGTTTATATGTTTGTATATGCTGCAATCCCACAGGCTACAGCCAGAAAGGCGGAATTCGATCTGGTTTGGCCGTGAACTAAACGTCGTGCACGGACAACACATCTGAACATGGACTCAGCAAGTCTCACAAGCAGATTCTGAAACGCCAGGGGTGAATTGCAACGCCTGCAGTAACAGAAGCACCGTTTGCCATAGCTGCCACACAGCTTGTGTCTATTTCTTTCCAGACAGCGAGGGCTGCGAAAACTTAGGGCCGAGCTTTGAAGAAAGCACATAAGAACAGCAACTTCGTACTAAAACCGACCTCTCTGACGACTATCCGCTTAAGGATTCAGACTCCCCGCTTTGACCAGTTGTTTTCCTCCCGCGCGCTTCTGCTCAACCACTTCCGAAGCGAAAGGTCCCGAGTCCTTCATGTTTGCCACGCCTTTACCTGGAAGCTTCAGTGCAGTGCCACTACTAAGCAAAGACAAGAAAAGACATGTTTGGTGCGCCAGTAAGCTCCAGGCGTGTCACCTCGCAAGCAAACTGCACTCAAGGCAAGAAAACAGAGTTGGCGCCTGCTACAACGTTGTTGCCTGCATCCGCATCGTCCAGCAAGCTTACGAGCTTTTCATCCTTTCGTGCAACTGTTCTCAAACAGATTCAATATATTCAAACCTCCTTACACAAACCGACTGGAAGCCTCCAGATCTTCCTGGCCACTTTGGCCACTTCCTGCGACCGTCGCAGCCGGGGCTGGCCTCTGCTGCCAAAAGCGTCTGCCGCTGCCTTGCTGCCCGAGGATTGCCGAGGCGATCTGAGGTGGTAGCTGCAAAGCCGCAGACGGTACACCTTTGCATATCACCGTGCAGAGCACCTTTAAGAAAATCACGAAAATCTGTTCGGCGTCAAATCTTCTGAGGTTGTGACCCTGGGCCTCCAGTTCTGCCTCTGCCGCTGCCTGTCACAGCACGTCACATCTCTTCACTGCCGTACTCTACCCTAATGTTGAAGTGAGCTCTGTAATGCAGGTGCTAGTGCCAGAAACGTTTTCGGTTGGGATTCACTCACGGTTTCCATTATGTTAGGTCGTCTAGGGCCTCGTGTCCTATTTCGGGCCGGGTCGTAATCCAAAAAGCGTTGCTTCCGAAAGATTGGTCTTGAGCGATGCTGTACGGCTGAGCCGAAAGAGCCTCAGAAGAGCCCCAAAACAAACCCAGGAGAGGGTAAGAAATGACTTGTAGAGACCTAGAAATGGCCCCATCCACCCCCGCACAACCTTTACTATTGCGATACGTGTGTGGCGAACTTTTGTTCAGACCCAACGCCAGAACAAATCCTGCAGGGGGTTCGTAAACGCACCTCAACATTAGCCTCAACATTACTCAATTCAGTACGGACTCAGCTGACAGGGGCAGCAGAGGCAGGATGCAAGAGAGTGAGGCAACTGGGCCAACACCAAAAGCGAAAGAATGCGCTTGAGATCGCTTGAGTGCATACGAGGCCTTCTCCGCCTCCTGCGCTGCATGCTCTGCGGACACCGCTATTGTGGAATCTGCAGCAGGGACGCACATAGGATCAAACACGAAGTAAACACACGGGGAGCACAGCACAAAATCTCCAAGCATCAGCATGAAAAGATGAACTTTCAGGCCTTGCAGAGCCGACGCTGCCACTGCTGGCAGTGGAACAGATGAAGAGAAGGCCGCTGTCACTGTCGCCACTGATGGCTCCACCGCACTTCCACTGCCGGGGCTTGCCACCGTGGCCCGTGCACCGGGTTCGCTGGTAGCATGTGGTGGGAAGTGGCTCTGCTGATTCGGGTGTGCGCTGGGGGCAGAGTGTGCTTCGGCAGCGCTTCGTGATTTGATGCCGCCACCTTCCTTCTGATTCTCTGATCCGCGGAGCGCCCGGGACTCAGAGCGATTCAGCCTGGCCTGCAGGTCCTCGATCTCCTGCTTCATCTGCATCTCGTTGTTTGTCAGCAAGCGCACCTGTGGAGCTGTATATAAACATTTCAAGAGAAGCCATCTCCGAAACTTGAACTCTTCATGGTGCCTCCTTCTCAAGGCTGCTTAGCTTCTGCGATGCGACCTGGGGCCAAAAACAGGATGCTACCATAAAAAGTGACTACACAATATGAAATGATTCGTGCGCATTGGGGACGATTCCGGAATATTCAACTCAAGATACTTTGATCTGATGCTCATGACCGTCGTATGGCTTGTCGGCACGTTCCTTGAGGTCAATTTGTTAGACGTATCAGCTGTCACCGCGGGGCATGACGGTTTATATATGATTGATTCCTTAACTCATTAAGAAAGCCTGCACTTCCGAGACGAAAAGGGCTAAACTTGCAGAGCATTCAAGACGGTAATAGGTCCCTTCTTGGCTTGGCAAGTGGCGCTGTTGATTAGGATGGGTAGTTGGAGCACACGTTCAGTGAGGATTAAAGTACTGCAGATCTACATCAACATTCTGCAGCGCAACGGACTGGAACTGTCGTCAAGGCACACCGAGTGAGGCCACGGCCCAGCGCTCTTGGAGAGCTTCTTGAGAAGCTGAGAGGCCTGCATGGCACATTTTGGTCTTGTTGGTGCATTCCGACTGCACCACGCCAGCCTGCAGATTGTGCACCGGAGCTTGTGGCAGCCAATTGGGGTACCTGGGCAGCATCCAATAACATATTCGTTCCATGACACGCAATTGCGAGCAAAGACTCGTCAACATGAAGAGGAAGAAACAAACTCGGTGATGCCTTGATGGAATCACCTGTTTCGCATCGATGACATCTAATGCTGGTGTCAAACGTCTCCTGTCCGCAAACAAGTCCACAAACAATACACGTTTTAGCAAGCAAGATTTACGTATTTGCCGTTCACGGTTCAAAGCCAGGCATTAAACCGCTTCCAGCCTGTGCATCAAATCCACCTTGCTGGAATGTGTGCAGAACTCTGCCACCATCCTGACACGAGATTGAAGGCGGCAGCTTGCGATTTCCTTCATTTCCGCAATCCTCTTCTGCTGTGCTTGACCCATGCTCACACAAAACAAAACACAGCAACATTCTTATTGGCTCATGACAGCGCAGCTTCTTGGAGAAAAACAAACGGACTATGACCATGCCACAGCAACATCACTCGAGAAAACGACCAAAACTTGCTGCAAGCTGGCCATGTTCGTGCTAGCATCAATCCGTACTAATCAACAAAATGCTGGCCTCATCGACACACACCACACGAACCGCCTCAGAATCAGCGCGGCTAAACATGGGTGACTCTGCGATGGTCATGCCCCAAGAAGCTCAAGGGCACCACGTAAGTTGCAAATGACGGCTGTGCCGAACAAGCTGTGCGTACCTCTGCTGCACGATGCTGCACGTGCATTTCCCAACGCCCCAAAACTTTTTCCAACACCAACAGGGATCCGCGCGATGCAATGGGAAGCTTCACCAACCCAGGCAGAAACCTGACCAACAACAAGGCTCCCTCTTGAAAGTGCTTTAAGCTCAGCCCTGACATCTTCTGCAATCTTCTGCAATCACTCTGCTCACGTGCAGAAAGAAACAAAAGGCGCGGACGCAATTTCCAGGCCCGAACCTCACCACTCCTCTGGAAACCTTGGGTTGCATACTGACTAAACCGGAACCATGGGAAATGCACTAAGGCAACGGCCAAAGTCGAACACGCCGGAAGCAGTAGATGCGCAAGTAGGACAATAATCTGGCTGCAACATAGCACAGTACTCTGGCTGCAAATACAAGCTTCGTCCCTTCCGATTCTAATTGTATGCATCAACGCATGCGTCAACATCACACGTGCACACTGAGCTAGCTCTCAACCAGCGAGCCTTCTTCATTGCTGACAGTTGCGACGCTCCGCGCGACCCTGAAAGGAATGGCACTGCCGTTGCGACACTCTGCATTCAAACCTCAAAACATGCATGTGAAGGCAGCCTGCAACGGCAGGATTGAGCGGACGTGCTTTTGAACAGCAGAGCCGTGAGCACACATCAATCCGCACGCGACTGATTCGAAAAGCAACCTTTGTTTGGGTTGACCTCAAAAAGAGCATTCCATGAACAAACGCAAATAATCCTGTGTCTTTTGACAGGTTCGTTCGACATTGCTGTGGTTACGACACGGTTGCTTCACGTTCATTCGCAAGATTCTGAACTCCGTTGTTGTTCAAGTACAAGCATTTTCACAAAAACGAAAATCTTCAAACAAAACAGTCACCAAAAGATACGAAACCGGGACACTGTGGAAATGCACTTTGTAAGCATTCATAACATTTCATGCTGCTAAGCCCAACGTGGTGCGCACGAGGGGCTGCATCCGGGGACCCTTCGGCGAAGGGGGCTTCGAAGCCTTCCGAAGCCTTCGAAGCTGAAGGGTGAAGGGGGGGGTTGGGAGGGGGGTTGGGGGCAGGTGGGGGGGGGGTTGGGGGGGGGTTGGGGGGGGGGGTTGGGGGGGTTGGGGGTTTGGGGGGGGGGGGGGGGTGGGGGGAGGGTTGAAGGGAGGAAGGTGAACGTTTCAAAGGGGGGGACGAAAATTAAGAACCCCCCCTTCCTTACCCCTTAACCCTCCCTTGTAAAAAAAACAAAAACAAGAAACAAGGGGAGGGGGAATTTAAACTAATTATCTATTTTGTCTTTTCGAATAAGGAACATAACAAACAAAAACAAGAAGGGAGGTGGAATTGAGCCAATTCTCTACCTTTCTGATTCTCGAATAATGAACACAAGAAACAAAAGCTAAAAACGAGAGGGGTGGAATTTAGAATAAATATCTACTTTTCTATTTGCGAATACGAAGGGCTGCGCCCCCTCCAACCCCCCGCTTTGTGGGAACAGCAAACAGGGGGGGGGGTGGGGTTGCGCCCCCCCCAACCCCCCGGCTTTTTTGAAAACATCAAAAACAGCAAACGAAAGGGGTGGAATTTAAACTAATTCTCTACTTCTCTGCTCATTCGAACAATGACACATTATAGACCATGTCATCCATAACGTATTTACAAATCACTCCACATCCGTGACGATAAGACATCGAACAACAACACTTCGGGCAATCACGCTTTTCATTCTTGTTGCACGGCACAGCCGAGTCAGGGGAATATTCAAAGTAGGACGGACACATGGAGTGTCGCACGGTAGCACTTAGAGTGCTCGCATCACACTGAGAATGTAATGCCACATGACTCGAGGGCACAACTGATACACGCATATCACCCCACAGCACCCCACAAAACGGGGCGGCGGGCGGGTTGGGCGGGAGAAAAAATTTGCTTCAGGTTGCAAGAGCCTAAATCTTGCCCGAGCAAAACTCACATGAACAGCAAATTTTTCCAAAACCACTTGACATATAAGACATCATTCAAAAAATTGCGGAAAACGTTATGGACCAGAAGCAACATGCTTTGTTTGACATGTTTCTATAAAACACTGTCACGCCAGCATGAACGTATGCTTATTGACCATGTCATCCATAATGTATGTACAAATCACTCCACATCTGTGAATATAAGACATCGAACAACAACACTTCAGGCAATCACGCTCTTCATGTTTGTTGCGCAGCACAGCCGAGTCAGGGGAATGTTCAAAGCAGGACGGACACATGGAGTGTCGCACGGTAGCACTTAGAGTGCTCGCATCACACTAACAGTGCAACGCCGCATGACTCGAGCGCACAACCGATGCACGCATATCACCCCATAGCAAAACGGGGCGGGCTGGGCGGGAGAAAAAAATTTGCTTCAGGTCGCAAGTGAGCCCAAATCTTGCCCGAGCAAAACTGACATGCTCACATGTGCAGCAAATCTTTCCAAAACCACTTGACAAATAAGACATCATTCAAAAAATTGCGGAAAACGTTATGGACCAAAAGCAACATGCTTTTGTTTGACATGTTTCTAGAACACTGTCACGCAAGCATGAACGTATGCTTATAGACCATGTCATCCCTAACGTAACAAAAATCACTCCACATCCGTGAATATAAGACATCGAACAACAACACTTCAGGCAATCACGCTCTTCATTTTTGTTGCACGGCACAGCCGAATCAGGGGAATATTCAAAGTAGGACGTGTCGCGCGGTAGCACTTAGAGTGCTCGCATCACACTGAGAGTGTAACGCCACATGACTCGGGCGTACAACTGATGCACGCATATCACCCCGCTCGACTGTGCTAAGTTGAAGCAAGAGTTTTATCCGACAGGAAACAGGTCACACTGTCCACCACGACATTGGGAAGGAAACTCAACTCATCCCACCTCCTGCGCGAAGGCGGGTCTGCTAAGTTGCTATGGCTCGGCACTCTGTGGAACTGTGGCAAGCAAGGATTGGCCTCATCTGCCAGCTCCAAATGAAGCAACAGTTCTCTCCAACTGGCATCACGCGAGCAGCCATTTATGCACGAACTCAAGGCCAGAATGGGGGTCGACGAAGAAGAAGAAACACCGTAGTCCCCCAATCGAAGACTTCCACAGAATGCGGGCCATAACCACAGCATAGCGCTCGGTCTGTCCAATGATGCGCTTACTGCCCGATGCTCAATTAATTACTCACACTGCACTCAGGCACAACAGCACCAAAAGTTCGTACAACGTGAGTGCGCAGATCAATGAGCACTCCACCGACAGAGGCCTTAAAGGTTTCACCGCTCGGCTCACATGCTCCATCCGTGAAGACCAGCACTGGCGACGAACACGGTGAAGTTACAGTACAATGGACCTTACGGAACTTCACGTGTGACAACCGTGCCCTTAGCCAGCACCTCATCAGCTTGTTCACAATCGACGCTGCTCTGTCCGACTTGTTCCCTGCAGTGACCCAAGACCAGCCTCCAAGCGTCTCAGTACCTGTGCCAAACAGTTTCTTCTGGTCAAAACCAAAAAGATCCATCACTGCATGAACCACTTGGTCCGTTTTGCCCGAAGACCGGAATTCGTCACAGCAGCAAGTCGCCAACACCTTACTGCCTGAACTTCCCATTCAGGCAACGCACACTGCATGACCTCATGTGTATGTATCTGGAGAAGAGAAGGCGAACCACCTGCCCCGAAAACCCTTTGGGTTAGGGTATCCGGTTCCACAACGCACTTTCCCTCTCCTTTCACGGGTGCTGCTCTGAGCAACGGTTGGCTGTCTAAGAGAGGAGATCCCATAGCGTTTGGCCAACACACACTGCATGACCCAACCTTTTCCCGAATGCTCTGCAGAAGGATTCCCGTTTTAAAGTTGGTCTGGGAGGTTACCCAACGTCGTTGCGTTGTGTCCGCAAAGCGTCCGCAAAGCGTCCGCAGAGCGTTCGCAAGCGTCCGCAAGCGTCCGCAAATAAGCGTTCGCAAGCGTCCGCGAGTGGCGTAACGCGTGCTGTTGAGGGGTCGAAGTCCACAGGACGCGCGCCGACGCGGCGTTCCGTGGCGTTCCGAATCCGTCAAGCTAAAAGGGACAATTCCACAGGACGCGCGCCGACGCGGCGTCAAGCTAAGGGGGAATGACGCGGCGCTCCGTCGCGTTCCAAATCCGTCAAGCTAAGGGGGAAGGAATTCCACAGGGCGCGCGCCGTCGCGGCGTTCTGTAGCGTTCCGAATCCGTCAAGCTAAGGGGAAATCCACAGGATGCGCGCCGACGCGGCGTTCTGTGGCGTTCCGAATCCGTCAAGCCAAGGGGAATCCCAGGACGCGCTTGGCGTTCCGCGGCGTTCCGACTCCGTCAAGCTAAGGGGGGAATCCACAGGACGCGCGCCGACGCGGCGTTCCGTCGCGTTCACAAGACTTTTATTACGACAGCCAGCCTAAGGCAAACTCACAGCGAGCCTGTTCTTTTGACTGGTGGCGCAACGGCTGAGCAATGCAAAGCAAAGAAGCTGAGCAGCAAAGCTGTTGCTGGAGCCCCAAAAAGACTGCCAGGAAAAAGGGGAGTCTCGCTGCGCAACCACCAATTGAAACGGTGAGACGAGCCTGTTATGCACTGTTCAGAGCTGTGAACATCTCTTGCTACGAATGTCTGGCCTCAGATTGCTTTGCTTCATTGTGTATCTGCAGTTACACCTGGTGGACGAATGGCAGTTCGCATCCCAAGCTGGACAGATAACACAGGAGCTGAGTCAGTCAGCAACAAGCTGTTACATCTTCGCACCCCTTGGGGGTGTTTGCTCAAAGACAGCGCTTTTAAGCTGCTTTTCGGGTCTTGAATGGATACCTCATTTTCAGGCCCCAGGAATCAATTAGCTGATTGGTTGTCCAGATGGAATGGTCATGATGCCTTGCCCGCTGCGATTCTGGAACAATTCCGCATTCGTCTGGATTTGAGACAGCTTTGGTTTCGGGAACACTGTACCTCCCTTTGTCCTGTGGAGGTGGACCTAGGCTGGGATTT